ATATAAGTAGAGTGCTTTGAGGTAGGGGAGAAGGGTTGTCTCTCGGTATGAAGTATGACCCCACAATGGTGCTGGTCAAACAGATCAAGGGACTAAATGTAGTAGCTGGCAGATCCAAATCTCACACAGCCAGTCTCCTATATACCTTCAGATTAGACGATGCATTCATTGTATACTAGTATAAGACTTAATGCTGCAGTCCTGCTTGATCCTCCATGGAGGATATTTCAGCCTCCTACAAGTAAGAACTACAAGTTTATTAGATAAGCTCAAAAATCACTGAGCTTTACACAAGAAAGGAGAATTCAGCCCCTTTCAGTTCTTTGGTTCTATGTGGAGCTGCCCTAGATTATAGTAAGCTGGTGCTTCAGTATCTTCCTTCCTCCCACCATCAATCCTGTCATCCTCCCCCTACACAGCCATACAAGTTACTGGGTCTAGTGCTTGCTTTAGGTGTTCCAGGTGCCTGATAACTTATGGAATGTTTTTGCTGCTGGCCCATAGGCCACTTTAGCATTATCAAAGCTAAAGCTAAATCTTACACTCTATTTGCATACATGTTTTCCTTGATAAGGAAGGCCATATACCTTTTAGAAGTTCTACCAGTTTCAGGGACTTCACAAGACACTCCCTATTTAATCCTTGCAATAGTCCTATAATCTGGGTATTATTATTCTTATTTTATAGATGAGAATATTTAAGTGCTCGCCCTAATAATCTACATCTAGAAATTAGGATTCAACCTTATGTCTGTCTGACTCTGGTAATGCAAATCCATCCAACAACCATCCAAAATCCAACCTGTGAACATTTGAAGACAGTGTGTTCCAGAATCAGCACTGATTCCCACTTCTGCTGTCTTCTACCAGCATTGCCCAGTAAAGCCACACAAAGTTAGACCCGGATCCTGTTCCTGCTCCTGTCAGCCTCTGTTCCCAAGTGTGGGTCAACCTTGGCACAGCTTGTTGAAGCAGAAAAGAAGCTACAGCTTGATTTAGCCTCGAGCACTATGAATTGTAAAGGAAGTTAAGTGTGGCTTGCTAGGAGCCCCAGTTTGATGCTGGTTGATGGAGTGTCCTGCTATAGAATTAATTGGAGATTTCTTTTTTTAAGTCTTAGGCAGTCAACAGGTGAAAATACATTATTCATAAAAGTTTTGGTAGAAAGGCTCACCTGTGGTGAGATAATCCCTTGGATGGGTGGGAAGTTGAATTTTTCTACCAAAATAAATTGGGAGTCTAAATATTAGAACTTATGGAGAAGGATTACGCTCTTCTAATGTATGTGAAGAAACTTCGTTCTTTTGTTTTCCCAAGTCCATGTCATACTCCAAAAAACACATGCCACGGGGAGCATGTAAAATGTCGGAGAAACTGTAAACTGGTAGCCGTTCACTAACTCTGCCAGATGAAACAGTTGCAGTACGGGATAAATGAGGAAGTGCATCATCTAAGAGGCTATATGCAAGAATGGAAGGGTTGAGAATGCAGTCTCATTACACAAAACTTAATTCTCCTGTCTCCTATTCTGTGTAAGTTGTAATTACTTATAAATTGAATGTGGATAATTGCCGTGAATGTTTTATAGATTTAAAGTGGGAGCACCAACAACTATAACTATAAATGTCATCGGAGCACTAATTTCTCCAACAAGTTTGGTGTGTTGCAAGTGTCACTCAGGGCCCGTGCCATACCGGTAGGCAAATATCATTTGGATACTGAAACCATTTCAGTAACAGATAAATACCTTCCAAAGAATTTAGGTTATAAAAATGAGACCAGCTTTTCATAGGTTTCTGGATTAAGTCACACAGTTGTCTCAGTCCATAGTGTTTAAGCTACATCAGTACACTTGTGATTTACAAAGATAATTTTACTTCAGAGGGCTTTTCTGAATGTATTTTACTTTACCCAGAAAGTATTCCTTATAATAAACAGGAAGCCTCACTAAATATAACCCAAAGGTTAAGCAATGGAAAGGCACATTGATGATGTCATACATTATAAATATTTTTTGTACTTGCTAGTTTATTTCTAAGGAAATTATGAGAATGACATCATAATGATGACTGGCTTTTATTAGTGTTTTTGCTCTGAAGCTCTAGACAAATAGTTATGAAGAAAAAAAATTGTCTAGCTATCCCTTAATACCTTACCTGATGTTTTCTAGTGACATTGATCCTAGGAAGTAATTCTAAGATTACTATATTACCTTTAGTTTTCTTTTACACCTCTATCATGAAAAACAGCATGGTAGGTAAGCATGAATTTTCTTAAAACTCATAATAGGAAATAATTACCTTTTTTTCTGAACTACTGCTTGAATTAGTCTATAATTCAAAAAATAATTTTAGATTATCATTTTATAGACCATTACTTGTTGCTGTCAGAGGAAGGCCTTTTTTAAATTGTGTATTTTAGCAATATACTTCTTTGTTCTACTAATACCAAATGAAAGTCATTAACATCCTATTACTTCTGAAGCTTTATGCTAGCACCTTTTCTAAATTAACTCTTTCAAATGCCTTCATTGATAAAATTGAGCCTTAGAAGACTGTGGAATAAAGATATATATCACATGAGATGGAGCTATAAGTCTTATAGTCTTTTATTCATACACTCAATAAATATTTGCCTAGGTGCAGCCATTGTGGTAAGTGCTGGGATATAATCAAAGACTAATAAGACATGACTTCCGTTCAAGATTTCTTCTTTATGGGGCAGGAAGACTAGTGTGGTGTCCTGGCCGAAGGTGTTAGGAAGAAAAGAGAGGGACGTGCTGAACTCGGGTCAGAGAAGGCTGCAGAAGAGTTCTTGCAGAGCAGCCAGGTGGGGATCCAAACAGGGAATAACCGCATGTAAAGGCACCAGGCTGTGAAAGCCCAGGGAGTCAGCTGACTGGCAGGACAAGAACACGAGCTGGAATGGCAGCATTGAGGTTGGAAAGAGAGGCTGGGGCCATCTTGTGAAAGGGTTTCGTGTTCCCTGTTAATCACTTGGTCGTATGTTTTAGGTAATGAGAGTCAGAAAGTTTTCTCTTGTTATTGCTTTCAGGAGGCAAGGTACAACAATGGGGTTTGTCTTTTACAAACCTGTGTGAAGGTAGTGGGGTAAGGCTCTTATCATTGGACGCAGCCAGTAGAAACTAAAGACTTGCAGCCAAAGAAGAAAAACGAGCTGTCCTTTATCTTGTCCATTTAGATTTAAATCCGGAAATTCATTGAGTCAAAGAAAACTTAGCAGAATTTGTGCTGTAACCAGCTCAACAGCCACAGATGCCAAAGTCACCCGGCAGCAATCAGGGCTGTCATATCTCAGGCCCTTTCCTGCTCTAGATGTTCTGGAATGATGTATGGTAGTATGCAAAATAATATCTCTGTATCCGTGATGGTCTACTGTTTATCACGTGATAGAAAGATTGCCAATGTTCCAATTTAAAAAGATAACTTGTAAAATCATTTTTACAACAGTAAAATATGGGTTCCCAGAAACCTGGGTTTTTAACAGTCACATCAATATCGCCTTACATTTTGGTTATAAGTGTAAGAAAAAAATACTTTAAAAGTTTTATATCATGCATATTAATATTGATGGGTAATTTTACATTTCCTGATTCCCGCTAACCAGGCATAGTAGTATAGGTGTAACATAAAAGATAATATATTTTTGCATCTAAAAATATTTAAGAAAGAGTAGAATGAGGCAGTTTTTTTATACTGCTGATAAATTTGTGTTCATAATTGAGCTGATGAATTACTACTTCTAGAAATTTACTTTGTTGACTATATGATGATTCTTGAAATATTTATGTAGCTTCTGCTAATGTATTTGTGTTTAAATTTTTTATATTCATAAATACAAGTATCTTTGTTTATTTACACAATTAAATAAGTCTGTGAATTTAGATTTTATATATAAAAAGGCCTTTTTAAATTGTTTTTTATTTCAAATATTAAAAATGTACAGTAAAACAAGCAGCTTTACTACAAATGTCACACCCAAGGAGACTAAGTGTCATCATCAATGGCCCCACAGAGAGTGTCACTCCTAAAGTCACTTTGCCACATGTGCCATCAGATGAGGAAAAAAAATCAAACACTGTATCCAACTATGGTGTTCCACTTGATGCCATCAAAATGCAAAAAACACACACAGTTTTTCCTATCACAATGAAAAAACTGTAAATGCTTAGGAGGAAAAATTGAATTATCATTTCTTTTAGAGCCAACTTTATACATTTCAAGGGTGGCATTTTGGTTTGGGGTTATAGACAGAAAAATAAATGAAAAAATGATTATGACATTTAAGGATAGCACTCCTGTCCACTGTCATGTCCATGAGCTACATGCCCATCCCCCGCCCTCCACCATGAGGAATAAAAGGGCTGAGAAGTAAACAGCTAATACTGCCAGCTGAGTGCTAGTGATTTAAAATTTTCAATTTGTGTATTTTTCATATAAAAAGAAACTTTATGATGTAGAAGTTCTAATTCATTTACAATAGAAAAAGGCAGGAGAGTGGAACCTTTCTCACCACTTCATTTGCCCTGAAGCTCAAAGGTGCTAAATTACCTCCGTAAAGTCAAAGACTGTAAGTCAAAAAGCAAGGGCGCAAACCCAGCTCTGCTCTCACAGAGCCCACATTTGTTCCACTCTGTTGACATGTGCCCTCAGATAGAACTCTTCAGAGTCAGAGAGCAAGAATGGGGGCGTGTATGGACTTTTGTACTCTTTCTCCACCTAGAATACAATAGCCCAGCCATGGCATATAGTAATACTGGAATGGCTAACTTCTATTGAGCACCAACAGCGTGTCTGGCCCATTAATCTATGAGATAAGAAATGTCCCCCATTTTAAAGATGATAAAACTGAGACGCAGAGAGCTAACAAGTAGAGGAGCTAAGTTGCAATCTAAGTCTCCGAGTCCATACTGTAAACACGAATGAGTAGAAATTTGATGCACAATGTCACGGAAGCAATTGGCTTACCATATTTGCCCCTGATGACTGAGTGAGAGCTGGGATCTGAGAGCAGGAGCTGTGCAGCAAGTGAGGACAAATGGTCATGACACTGTAGATGCCGAAGAGCGTGGGTGCCGGCAGTCAGGAGAGTGCAACACTTCAATTGCCCTGGGATTTAGAACCAGGAACTTGTCTCTGCATGGCGATCCTGTGAATTAAGATGGAAAGCATGCATGTGCCATCAGTTTTGTCCAAATTGCTATATATGTTCAATTATGAGTATATTAGAAAACTGATCTGTCACTGTTTGGCTCTTCCCTCAGTTAACTAAGAACACAATCTCATGCAATTTGAATATCAGAAATTCCCTCAAATTCTTCCTTTTGGTCCAAAATTATATTATGTCTAGCTACTTACTGTATATTTTCCATTATAGTCAGAAGTATAAGGAACATACTTCCTTTGTTTTGAAAATACCTACTGGTGAAATTTCCATGGAAAGGGTGAACAGCCAGACACTGTCCTCCTTAAAATAAATCTTCAAGAGGTTAAGGCAGTTAAAGGTACTCAGATTTGTTTTTTAAACATAAAAAATCCAAGTGCCCCTCCCCCTTTAAACTTTCTCCATAAATCCTTCTCTGACTTTATAATTACTTTCCTATCTTTAATATGGACTCCAGATTTTTCAGGTACCTGTACTATGCAATTTCCACACTTAGTTCATCTTAGCAGAATAATATCATACTTTCCTGATTACAGAAAACATGGAACCACAGCACTTTCTATTTTAAATTTTACATAATTTAATGTAAAGATGCATTTTCAGAAGTATATGTTAATTTATTTCATTCAGAATTAGCATAAATATGTAATATATCAAACATTAAAAAGAGTTGCTTAACTGGATATCTGGCATAGCAAATGTTTAATTTCTAAGTGTTGACTTGTAACTAATGATATTTTGGTATTTAATGTAAGATAATTTTAATATAAAAATGGATATTTATGTTAATCATTATGTTAGTCCTTTCATGTTGCTAGAACTCTGCATTTGATCATTTTGTAAAATTGTGACTAATGAAAATACCAGAGAGTCAAAGAACTTGATTTTGCTATTTTGGTAAATTACAAGTTTAATTGACATATAAATCACATAAATACAAACTCTACTCAGAAAATAATTTTAAAAGTACCATAATTTTTATTTGACCTTGAAGTTCCAGCAATCTATTGCATAACTTCTCAAGAGAAGTCACATAGAGGAAACCTCATATTTTCTTAAATTTATTAGTGCTTCTTGGTGGTCTAAACTGTTGGAGTTTTTTTTCTTTTCTTCAAGGTTTCTTTTTCAAAGCAATAATCTTACTTAATTGATTAATGTTTGTTCTCATATAAGTCAATTTGAGTTCTTCTTTAGAGTAACAATAGGAAATATGCAATAACAAAGAGCAGTGAAACACAACTAGGAAACTCAAGTCTACCAGTGTTGTATTTCTGTATAATGATGTGAAGATAATGCTTTTAGCTGCATGACCACCATATTAGCCACACATCATAAAAAACAAACTTTATAAAATGAAGAGGTCAAATTCATTAAAAACAATTTTGTTCCCTTTGCTATAGTTAAGCGTTTATCTTTAATATTGTAATCTTTCTTTCATAGAAAAGACCCTGAGTATCCCATTTTCTGATAGGAGAAAAAAATGTTTTTCAAACTACAAAGGTATAAGTCAGGTGAAACTATCAAGGAAATGCTTTATGTTTGGGGGTTTAAGATTTAAAACAAAATGGTCAGACTTTGTGCTGCAGAGATTTTAGCTATCAAGATGGTAAATGAAATAATATGAGTTCATTTTATTTTATTAATTTTAATATAAAAATTAAATATTACAAATAATTACATTAGAAATTTGCTTTTATTCTTATACAAGTTAATAGTCCTTGGGTTCAAAAGACTTTTATTCATAAATTGGGACAATTATTTTTCTTTATTATAGACTCAATCATCCTAAGAAAGGTATTTCCAAGCTGTAAGACAATCAAAGGACACCTTCTTCTTCTTACCCATCAAGTAAAATAAATTTGGGGGTTTGAAGAATTTAATTTAATGCATTTTCTAAATTGTCTTCCTTGTTCCAAAGGAATTATTTGCTTTTCAAAAAGATATGCCCCATATTTGTCAATATAGTAATTTTTAGAAATAGTCATACTTTAAGAATGATCCTAAGAAGGAAATCCTTAAGAGAGTGAGATAAAGAAAAATTGAAATTCCCCAAACATAAGCAAATATTTTCTTTATTCTGTGGCATTATCTAACTTGGGGGATATGTATGTTTTTTAATGGATGTACATATTTTAACATACTCTTTGAGCAATCTCTTATTCTTTATTAGTTTTTAATTGGATATCCAAAACTGAATCCGTATTCACTATCTTATATAAATATGTGAAAATATTTCTCTGAGATAATTTTCACAACTTTGCCAATATTAAGAATGCAAATATAAATCTTGGAAGTGCATTTTTGTATAGAGTTTGTTTTTGGTGGGCAGAAAATATATTGCGATTTGCCATCAGTATTATTAGAGAACACACAAATGTTGGGGTTGATTTTGTTTCCATTACCCTCTTTCTTTGTTTATAAAGACATTATTATGTTTAACTTTACAGTATATAATCTCCATATTTTTTTAACTGAAAAAAAAGTAATATTCCTTCAATGGCCAGGTATGTATGTTTCAACTCTGAAATAAAAATTCGGATTACCTCAAGTCTTGCAAATCATTCATTAATAAGCCACTGGTAACATATACCCTCTAAATTTCCCAAAGAGATAGGGGCAGATCTTTATCAAAACTATGTGGTGAGGCTGATGCTAAAAATAAGTATAAATGTGCTTTTCCATGCCTGCAATTTTCTGAAGTCCAAAAGTTCTTTGGGTGGTGGGCAGCAAGATAATAATACTTCTACATAATTTAAATGCATTCCTCTTTGGATTAAAATGTAGGGCTACATGTTCTCTCCCTCCAAATCACATTCCCGTCCAAAATCTTATTAGATGGATCAATTGAATTTAAGGATGGCTCTTACCTCTCTGTTGTAATAACTGTATCTTCAATTCAAATGCCACATTGGAATTTACACAGTGACTTTGGTTTCATTGCCTCCTGTAATTCTCTGTGTGAACTTCTGGGAGGGAAGAAAGAGTCTTACTGAGGACTTTTCACTTGCCTCTCTCCCCCATCAAACAACCAGGTGAACTCCTTGTCAGGGCTGCTGAGTGTTCTGCTTTATTTTTGGGGGATATGCTAGTTTTTATGTATGTTTCATCTAAAAATCCAGTAAGAGATACCTTTTTCTTCCTGTTTAATTAATGATCTATTTAATTCTTTAAACCCTGGGTTAATACACAATAAGATTTGGGTGCCTCACGTTAAAAGCAACAGGTGTGACAAACAAGTTAAAAAAAAAGGGCAGAATAATCACGGAGGGAAAGAATCAAAGAGGTTTGAAGGAGAATAGAAATTCTACACTGGTGGTCACAGGCTTGCGAGAGCTAACTGTGCCTGGCTCTGCACACACCAGTCAGTGACATCAAGTCGCCCATCTGAGATCGGCCGTGGGGACAGTATTTACGTCATGGAAGAGCACACAAGTCAATTCTTTGCCAGATTGTCGGTTTATCAGCACATCGCCCTAAACCCTAAATTAACCTTTGTGTTAAAATAACAGATATAAGCTTCATGATATCTCACACAAGTTAAAATAACTGAGGTGTAAGCTTCACTGTGTTCCCCTGTGGAGCTTTGGAAACCCAAATGAGACTATATCAGTCCTGCCCCAGTCCGTGAACAATGGGCACTGATGGGGGAATACAATCCATTCTTTGTTAGCTCATTTCTTCATTTAGAATACACTTGGTGGGGTGATGTAACAATGATTTATAGTATTTGTTCTCCAATCACAATCTCTGGCACTTCTGATTGTGCATTTTGAGAAAGTTACTCAAATACTTTACCCCAAAAATAAGGATAATATAAAATAGCATTAAACTCTAGAGTTGTTACAAAGTTTAAGAAGATAATGCTTGCCAATTACTTATTATCCTCTCTGGCACATAGTAAGTGCTCAATACATGTTACCTTTTCTGATATGGCTTCTACTATTGATGAGATCCTTTGTAAGGCACCAGGATTACCAACATGAAGTCCCTGACTTCAGGAAGCTTACAGTCTAGAAGAGAATTGATCTAGTTGTTAATTTACACACCTGAAATTTTGCCATGTCTAACAATATAACTGCTCAATATTTTACCCTTTTACAAGTCAGTCTAGAAATGTACACTTTTAAAAATCTGAGGTCTAAGAAGTATTCAACCTGTAGTTGTAATAGATGAGGTTAGTGTAGTTACAGAGCTTTTCAAATTGTCATTTGTATTCATTTTTAATTCCCATAAATATTCTTGTAGTTTTTGCTAAACCTTTTCTTTATTTTCATGTAACCTAAACAGACACACAAGCATAAGAGCTTTGCTTTCTCTGTGTGTTGCCAATTTTTCTATAATTTTTCCTTCTTCAAAAAAGTGTTTAGTGCTAGGATTTTGTTTCTGAGAAAAGTTTAGACTTTTTGTCATTTTATTATTTTGTTACATTATTATTGCAAATAGATGTTTCACAGTTTAACTTTATTGAAGCATTTTATCTTTTGGAAAAGATGTTTTGGAGAACTGAATTTTGGAAAACCACTGATATTATTAATATTTCACACATATTGAGACAATAGTCCCTAGTGTTCAAGCCATTCCCTGATATCATATTGGATTCCTTGGGCAGCAGATAGTAAAGGCTCTAACACAGCTAACCACCACCTAGACAAGGTGAGAGATACATGGCAATCCATTAAGCAATATACCATACTGTATCAAATATCATAGTTCAAACAGGTAAAGAGCCTAGGGAAAAATACAGTTATGAAATTCAATTCCATTTGACAAAGATAAAGCTTATGTAAAATAAATCATATACATACATACATCAACTATTGTGACCATAATCACTTTAAAGTATATAACTGAGTGTGCATATATATCTTACCCCATAGGCTTGACATGTCAAAAGAGCATTAGTGTAGGGAATAAGCAACAGCTGGGAAGTTGGACATTCTAGGAAATAACCACTTCTCAAGTCTTCCCTCTGTGTAGGTTGTAACTTAAACCCAGGGTGACAGATTTATTTTGTTCATGTTTGAGAAGAGTGGGCAGGAGTCAGTGAAGAAAGCTAGTGTGGCTTTCAGGTAGTTGGTCTCCATCTAGAATATATTTCATTCTCCCACTTGCACTTTGCTAATCTGTGTTTGCATTTGCTACCTGTGGAAGATAAAATGTGGGATCCTAAACACACGTGACATGGACCGATTGCTACCTACCAGAAATTAATACCCCGTGAGATGCTTCCTAAAAACACTGACTTGCTGGGTATCTTCTAGCAGCTCTCCTCTTGAAGAAGGCTGTGGTCTTTGTCGGGGGGGACAGGGGGGTGCAGGTGAGCTTGGGTCCTGCCAGCATTTGAGAATCATATATACTTTCTCAGAGCACACGGAGTGATGAGTAAAGACAATTAATCAGAAAGAGGCCTTGAAGAGATGAGCTGATCCTTAGTATTTGGTTATCAGGAAACCAGAGAATAACTCGAATAAGTGAAAGACTTGTCTGAAAGAAAAGCCAAATCTGGAAAAATAGAGGAAATTTTAAAGAAAGGAGAATAACTCGTACTTCAAGCACCAACCACAAATGGGTGCCCCAGCTACCCACATTTCTGCCCGGCTGACTACAAATTCAGTGTTTCCCATATTGGGCTCAGTAATTCACTAGAATAATAGAAATTGTTTTACTTACTATTATTGATTTATTTTAAAGACTAGGACTCAGGAACAGCCAAGTGAAAACAATGCATAGGGGGTGAGGGGAGAAGAGCCTCCATGTCCTCTTTGGGTTCACCCCCCTCCCCGACCCCCACACCTCAATGTGTTGACCAGCCCAGAGCTCCATACACCATTGCTTGTGGGAGGAGCATGGAGGGATGATTGATTGGATCACTGCCATTGGTGAGTGGGCCCAGTCTCCAGTGCTTCCCCCACTCCCAGCAGGTTGTGGGGTGCAGGTGAGGCTGAAAGTTCCAATCCTGTAATCACATTTTTTTGGTTCCTCTGGCTACCAGCCCCATCCTGAAGATTTCTAGGGACCCACCAAGAGTTACCTCATTATCATAAACTCCAATAAAGCTGACAGGGGTTCGTTATGAGTAACAAAAACAGTCCCTTCACTCAGAAACTGGGGATCAAGACCAAATATGTCTTTCATTCTATCACAGAAACAAATCATGCATTATCTCCCCAAGCTAACTGGGGATCCTCAGGGGATTGACTCCTCTTCTGAGACCAAATTAGACTTGGAACCAGTGAAAAGCCACGCTTCTCATCTTTTCCAGTAATTGTGAAGAAATTAATACTCTACAGTGTTTCAAAACTTAGGAACAAAGCAAAATAATACCATTTCCATGAGCTTAAAATCTGCCAGTTAGTAGAACTAACGTTGAACTTAACCTTCTTGATTAACAACACAGGAGCCTTGCTCTTGACAGAGTTCTTATATGAAAGTGTCACATGCCCATGTTACCAGATGGTCTTCTCTTTTGCCTCCTCCTCCTCCTCCTCATTCTGAAAGGCGCTTTTGCTTCATTCTGAAGTGAATGCTAACAGTGACAGCTTTCCTTAGTAACTCCTTGTAAACTTTTAGGTGAACTTCATCAGCCACCTCTTCATCAGGGTGCTCACTTTTGGGCATGGCCGAGATGCTTCAAGTAAGCCATAAATAGATCCTTTTTTTAAACACAGATGAAGATAGCCAAGTGGTAGACAGAATAATACCCTTCTCCAAAAGATGCCTGCATCTTAACCTCCTGAACCTGTGAACATGTTATGTTACTTTACATGGCAAAGGGAAATCAAGGTCGCAGTGGAATTAAAATTGTTAAAGACTGCGTAGGGAAATTATCCTGGATTACCTGGGTGAGCTCCATGGCATCACAGATTCTGAAAAGTGGGAGAGAGAGAAGAGGAGGTCAGAGGCATGAGATGTGCGATGTGATAAGGACTCAGTCCACTGTTGCTGGCTTTGAAGAGGGAGTACAGGGGACACGAAAAGGAAATGCCGATGGCTTCTAAACACTGGAAAAGGAAATGGATGATCCCCTAGAGCCTTCAGAAAGGAACACAGCCCTGCTCCCACATTTATTGTAGCCAGAATGAGACCCACGTTGAACTCCAACCTACTAAGTTTGTGGTGATTTTTTTACAGCAGCAATAGAAAGACGAATACAACCTGGTATTGAGTTTGAACTACCAAGCCTATTTCACATTTTTTGAACAGCAGAAAGTTCCTGCCCAAGAGAAGCCAAGGTGTGCACAAGGAGGGGCCGTGTTAGCCTCCAAGTCCTCGTGTCCCTTTCCTGAGGTGTGCCAGCAAACCGTAGGCACGGGAATGACCAGCAGTAAAGGGAATGTGATGACTTGCCTTAGAATACAGTCTGTGTTTCACAGAGAATTAAAATTACCGCCACGCTGTTCTTACAGCAATTCTCAGAAGCTCCTTCATTATTAAGAGGACAACTCTACGGGAGGTCTTCCTACCTGCTCACCTGTGTCATGTACATAAAATAAAGATGGTCTTACTTTTTGCAGAAACTGCCTAATTCTTCATGTAATTGAGCTTTCATACAGCCAAGCTTTTTTCTTTTTCTTACCAAGTTTTGAGTGCAGAAACCTCAGGTGTTAATATGCTAATCAGCCTTTGTGTCAAAGTTACCCAGATTCTTTCTTTATTCTCTTTACTACTTGTCTTTGGGTCGTGCACATTTCTCATAGTGCAGCATTGCTTCGCCTGCCCCCAAAGTCAGCATCGTAAGAAAGTGCGGTGGGAATAAAACAACTGAGAATGGTACCTTGTTATCTGCTTCCATGTCTAAGCTCCTTAAGGGCAGGGGTTGGTGTGTTTTTTTAATAACAGAGTTTTTTAAAAATTGATTTTAGAGAGAAGAAGGGAGAGGGAGGGAGGGGAAGAGAGAGAGAGAGAGAGAGAGAGAGAGAGAGAGAGAAAGAGAGAGAGAGAGAGAGAGAGAGAGAGAGAGAGAGAGAGAGAGAGAGAAACATCGATGTGAGACAGAAACATCGATTAGTTGCTTCTCATATGCACCCCAACTGGGGATGGAACCCGCAACCTGGCTGGGAATTGAACTGCCTTTTAGTGCACTGTATGGTGTTCAACCAACTGAGCCACATAGGGCTGGTTTTTATTGATTGTCTTAGCCCTAGCACCCAGCACAATGCCTAACACATAGTAAGGTATTCAATAAATACTTGTTGAACGAACGTCAAATACAAACTTTTGTTTTGGACAAGGCAGTAACAAGGAATATCCTGAACTTAGCACTGCATTGTCTACTTTAATGGATGTTTCATTTATTTCTCAATGCCATAGGGCTGTTTTGTAGACTACTGAACTTGAAGCCAGTCACTTGCCAAAAGGTCACTAAGAAAAACTACGCAAAAATGAAAAATGCTGCTTCCGGTTCAGTGCTGCCCAGTCCTGTTTCCTAAAATATACATTCCTTAAAAGAAATTAAGGCAAATTTTTAAAGAGGCCAGCAATCAGGAAAAATTATCTTGATCCCTACTGAAAGTATGAAGGGAATGTTTTCTTCAAAATAATATCACAGCCCTGCCAGTGTGACCCGGTGGTTGAGCATTGACCTATGAACCAGGAAGTCACAGTTGAGCCCCAGGTTTGATGCCTGGATTGCGGGCTCCATCCCCAGTGTGGGGTGTGCAGGAGGCAGCCAATCAATGACTCTCATCATTTATGTTTCTATCTCTCTTTCCCTCTTCCTTCCTCTCTGAAATCACTATGAATATATTTTAAAAATATATAATGTCACAATGAAAGACCATGCTCCACAATTCCTCTTAAAAAGAAAAAATATTTTCTGGCATAATCATTTTGTGAATACTTCTCTTTTTCAAATGCTACATACTTTGTTTTCTTCAGAGACCAGGAATATTCTCAGCCAATTGGTTAGAACTTTGATCTGTCTACCAGGAAAGAGTATCCTCAAACTATAAGACTAGATCTGATCTTGTATTTATACCAAAGTCACCAATACTCTTTGGGGAGGTTTTGCCTTTCTTCTGTTGACCCTGTGAAATTTCTCCTGAGAGCTGAATGGTAATTGGAGTGGCAGTTAACTACTTATTAACAGTCCCTAAGGGTGACAGGGGTGGAGTGGTTATGATTTACTCTGAAACATGCGTTAATCTCAAAGTTCCACAGTGCATAGGGACATTATTTTCAAATCATTCAACCATCTGATTTTGAGGAGTCACTTGTGCTTGGTGTGGGGCTGTCTAGAAGTAGATGCAGTATTGCGGGAGCCAAGCAGAGGGGAACCAGGGTCTCATGGTAGCTTTGGATACTCCCGAGAGGCAACCCTAATGTGTTTGTAAATTACTTGCTGCCTGCTTGTGATAGGTGACACTTGGGATTTGTATAAATCTCTTTTCCCATCAGTCTTCCCACAGTACAGGAATTCTACATTCCTAATTCCTGAAAAGCAACCAGCACAGTTTTAAACCATGTTGCTATCCAACTCCAATTGTATTTCAGATGATTTGATTAGAGACTACAAAAGAACTAATTTCAACAAAAGCTTCTTAGAGTGGAACACAAACAGTTGTGAAGTGGGCATGCAGCCCTTTTTCTGCACTCATAGCTTCAGAGGGAAATCTATACAGAAGAGGAAGTAGCCACACACTAAATCCCACCCCCAGGCCTCCTTATGCATCTGTCAAGGAGGTTTAAATGTGCAGTGACTTTTCTATAACCGAATCTTAGTTACACACCCCAGCTTTCAAAGTCTCATAAGAAAGGGCAGAGATATTTGTGTAACGAAGATGTAAACAGAAAAACATCAACTCCATATTAAAATCATCTTTACAAGATAATCCCTGCAATCGAGGCTCATACATAAAATCATAGTCATTAGATCCTTACCCTTCAGTGAGATTGTTCTTTTAATTTAAATTAATATTAAGCATATTGTGATATGCAAATGAGGAGGGTGACTTTTTTGACATTTGAACAATGATTTGGTAGTTCTGGGATATTTGCATTGACTTTCTTATTTATACCATCTTAAAGTGTGGGTGTTTCCACTTTAGATGGCACATATCTGAGAGCATTTTTTTCTCTATTCCAGGAAATCAATCAACAATGTTTACTAAAACTGAGCTTTTATGCCTAAAACTTAAAATACTCAAATCCATGTAGAATACAAACTATGTACAGTCTTATGCTTTGCTAGGAACACATGCTATTCTAGGGACAAAAAAAGCACCAGCGTGCCTCCATTATCACTTTGTGAAGTAATTGCAGTGGTAGAGATTTGTCCCTCCTTGAACACTTCTAAGGAGTAATGCATAGCTTTCTGCCCGAGGACACGTTTTTAAGGACCTGGTGTGTGGAAGGTGATGTACTAGCAGCTGTCCATGTCTGTGGTCACTGCCTTCACCTCTGTGGATGACTCATCAGACTCCAGAGGAGATGCTTGCTGCCGTACTAGAATTGGGACTCGAGTCTCTGATCTAGATAATTTTAGATACTTTGATTTCATTATAGAAATTCCTAGACTACTTGTGGGATAAAACAAATGTTAAGACCATATTGAGTTTCAAGCTGAATTAGCAGAAAAGATAAAATGCCTTTCTATTTAAGAACATGATGATGTTTTAATTGTTACAGCATTTGGCATGCCTAATGTACACAGTCCTTGACATTCATATAATAACAAAAGAAAGTTGTTTGGGATTTTTATTTCCTAGTGTCCCCTTTCCCCTCTAGTATTTCTCCCGCCCCCGCCCCAGCCCTGGCTTTCCGCTCTCCTCCCGTTTCCCCATCCTTCTATAAAGAAAATCTCTGAGCATGGAGGGGATGCATGTGAAAATACCTTGTTCTACGTAGAGAGACCAAGGCTGCTTATTACCTAGCGATGATGAACAGACCACCAGCGTTGTGACAACCGATGCAGATGCCTCCGGGGTAAAACAAAGGTTTACATATTACACAAGCAATTTAACTGTTTTCTAAACATATTGCCAAGACAGTGGGAGTTGGCAGCCCACACTGTGTTTTAGGTTTTGGAGACTTGGATTAGAAGTGACTGCTGATTATGAACCTTTTTATTTGTCTTCCATGGATGACAAGCAGCATGGTAACCCAGCAGAGAATTCTTCCCAGCACTTAACCTTGTCTTCCTAGCTTCCCAAGATCACAGGCACAAATCACTTGACAAAAGTAATGCGACGGTCTTGTGCATAGATAACCACGCGAGACGAGGGGCTTGTTCTAACCCTTAAAGAGTTCCGCAGAGTGAAATGTTTTATAATCCCTTTTTGTGCAGTAGGCAAGGAAGAAAAGAAAAGAGTTTGGGCAAAGATTATCCAAAAGAAAGAAAGAAAGAGACTCTTTCGGGGGTTCTAGTTGAAACACAATAAAGAACATAATTAACTTTGCGATTCTTTGTGTTTTTCATTTGACTGCAGGGAGGAGATGAAAGAGGACTGCTAAGCCTTGCATTCCACCCCAATTACAAGAAGAACGGAAAGCTGTATGTGTCTTACACCACCAACCAGGAACGCTGGGCTATGGGGCCGCATGACCACATTCTTCGCGTTGTGGAGTACACGGTGTCCAGGTATCGCTGAAGTGCACGGAGGCAAACCTATTTTTCCATCTCATTTTCTCTCGATCTCTTCATCCTTTTTTTGTTTAGAAGTTACAAATGGATAGCCACACGGTGGCAATAATTAACCCCACAATCTCCATCTTGCTTAAAGCCCCATGCATGTCTTTAAGGAAAACTGAAAAAACAACAACAACAACAAAAAAAGATAGCTTGGGCACTTTTCCTCAATTACCTTGCAATCTAAACGCCACTTCTGAACGTTGGAAAATAACGTAATTGTTGGTGGCTTTTATTAGCCCCATTTCAAGTATGTGTTTCCTTATTTACAGGCCAGGTGTTTGCTTCCCTAGGTGTGTACGCGTGACTTTCCAGGGGCTGCGCCTTCCAGCTCTAACAGTCACGGTCTTGTTTCTGCCCCCGATGTAGGAAAAACCCCCATCAGGTTGATCTGAGAACCGCCCGGGTCTTTCTCGAGGTTGCAGAGCTGCACAGGAAGCACCTGGGGGGACAGCTGCTCTTCGGCCCCCACGGCTTGCTGTACGTCATTCTCGGCGATGGGATGATCACGCTGGATGATATGGAAGAAATGGATGGGTTAAGGTAAAAAAAAAAAAAAAAAAAGAAGAAGAAAGGAAGAAAGGAAGAAAGGAAGAAAGAAAGAAAGAAAGAAAGAAAGAAAGAAAGAAAGAAAGAAAAAGAAAGAAAGAAAGAAAGAAAGAAAGGAAAGAAGGGAGGGAGGGAGGGAGGGAGGAAGAAAGAGCAGGTTCCCACTTGATGTGAAAATGCCAGGAGAAAGGGTCGGGCCCAGGGGGTGAAAGGCAGTCTTTGAGTTGAATCCCCTGGTTAAATATTTAACTTGGTTCTCAGTGCCTGCCTTGGTGACGTGAAGAGGCCTTCAGGAGCACGCTGATGTGATATATTTTTAAAGTCGCTGCACTTCTATGTCCTAACACCACTTACGGCTGTGTTGACATCCTTCCCCGAGCCAGTATTTAGCACTCTCTTCTAGTAATGCACGAAGCAGAGGGAGAAGGCAGAGAACTAATGCAGCCCTGAGACGCAAACAGCACCTCATCTCTGCGTGTCCACGCTGCGGCCACCACTCCGCAGCATGGACAAACATACTCCGTGGAGCTAGCTTCTTGCGGAAGACAAAATGCACGGGTCAGCAGAAAAATAAGAGGACAGACGCAAACAACAGTCCCCTCCGAGGGTGCAGTCTGTGGCCACTTGTCTGAAAGTAGACTGCCCCTAGCTTTATTTCCCACCAGATGGAACGGGAACGGGAATAATTTTGTCTCAAACAGGGGCACGATCTGTAGAGCAACCTCTCTGCATTTGGTTTTGGTGAAATAAGTAATCAAAACGAAAGCACTCATGTCGTCCTCCTATTTCTCAGTGACTTCACGGGTTCTGTCCTCCGGCTGGACGTGGACACAGACATGTGCAACGTGCCTTATTCCATCCCCAGGAGCAACCCGCACTTCAACAGCACCAACCAGCCCCCCGAAGTGTTTGCCCACGGCCTCCACGATCCAGGCAGGTGAGAGCACCCGCGGCCGCTGGCCTGAGTGAACCAGGCTGGGCCTCGGGAACTGAGAAAAGACAGACAGACGGGTCCAGGCCCAGAACAGCATGAGTGGTGCGCAAGGCTGTGCCGCTGAAATCCCACAGGCTCACTGTCCGAGCCAGGAGTTAGCATTCTCCTCTCTTAACGCACCAAGAAGATTTAGGAGGCAGATTAGACATGAAAAAGGACAATTTCATGCAGAAAAATCTCCTTCAAGTTTTGGAGGGCTATTATTAGAGAAGCACTGGTGGACCTGTGTCATGATTCAAACTCCATCTGAATAATCAGAGATAATAAACCTTTTGTCTCCTTAAATCCGTCTAAACAAGTGGTTCTCAACCTTCCTATTGCTGCTACCCTTTAATACAGTTCCTCATGTTATGGTGACCCCAACCATAAAATTATTTTCATTGCTACTTCATAACTGTAATTTTGCTACTGTTATGAATCATAATATAAATATCTGATATACAGGATGTATTTTCATTGTTACAAATTAAACATAATTAAAGCATAGTGATTAATCACAAAAACAATATGTAATTATATATGTGTTTTCCAATGGTCTTAGGCATCCCCTGTGAAAGGGTCGTTCTACCCCCAAAGGGGTCGCGACCCACAGGTTGAGAACCGCTGGTCTAAACGATGCTTTCCTTACATTTTAGATGGGGGTGGTACCTTGCAAGGATGCTGCAATGATTAAAAGCATGACACAGTGTCTGACACACGTGGTAGATTTTAAATAAATTAGAGTTCTTATTTTCATCACTTCACTTAATACATATGATACAGTACCAACTTGTAAGGAATTGACTAAACATTAGCATTCTTTTCCTTGAAACAAATTACAAATACTAAAGGAATGCTAAATGAAATACTGACCACTTACTAGAATGAACCATAAAGAAAGGAACCCTAAGAAGAATGTAGAGGGAGAAGCTTGGGGTACACTTTTAAAAAGCTATGAAGTCTACTAAAGTCATTCTGTGCTGAAAACTTTACCCTGTCCTACCCGTGATCTGCTGGTCATGCTAAGGGCTATCGGCCACATCGACTCCTTTACTGGCTAAGGTATTATTGCTATTTAATGTTTATTGAGTGTTCACTGTGTGCAAGGTGAGCAGTTTTCGAACTTTTTAGTTTTATAATCCCTCATGCCCTTCATCTCCCCTCCATCAAAGTCCACGTCTACAGTTCATTTCCTTTTTGGCATCTCAGCAGATCTTAAAATCTGGGCGACAGGGAATACTTAAGGTGGGTTCAGGATGTGGAGGAAACCGTCACATTCCATTCCTGTAGCTCAGCGCTCGCAGATACCACCACAAAGCAGCACTTTGAAGTCCAGCAGCCTGAGTCACCACAGTCCCGCCGGCGCTTTCGTGCAACCTTCCCCGGGGGTCCTGGACCCTCAGTGTAAAAACACAGTGGGAGGCACTTTACAGACCTGACGTAGGGCAGGACGCCGGTGCTGCGGAGCCCCCTCCCCCAGCGGCAGAGGGCTGGAGGCACACTCATGCCTCCCTCCAAGGTTATGTTGGAACATTTAATAAAGCAGAAAGGAAGCTAAATAATTATTATTGGCTACACATTAAGCTGCCTTTCATGAAGCACCTGGGTGCAGAATACTGAGCTAAGTATCTTATGCTCCTTATCTCCTTATGCCTCTCAGGGGTGCTCCGAGGTGGCTGTCATCAAGCCCCTCTCCCCCTTTTTTGAAGACTTTAAACTTTTTTTTTTTTTGAGCAGTTTTAAGTTCACAACAAAATTGATTGGAAAGTAGAGCGATCTCCCACATACCCTTGCTGCCACACATGCAGAGCCTCCCGCACTACTGCTAACCCCACCAGAGTGATCCATTTGTGATAGTGGAGGAGCTAGCATCGACTCATCATAATCACTCCAAGTCCGCAGTTTCCACTAGGGTTCACTTGGTGTCTCACCTTGTATGGGTTTGGACAAGTATATAACAACATGTCTCTGCCTTTACAGCATCATACAGAGAAGCTTCACTCTCAGCCTCTTTTTTACATAAGAAACTAAAGGTTCGAAGGGTCAAGTGGTTCTCAGTGGACCTAGTATTCAGCCAGAGGAAAAGCCTCATGGCCCCCAGCAATGAAACCACTGGGAGACCTGGCCTTTTCTTCCAGATTTGCTCTTTCTTACCAGAAACAGGACAAACCTTTTTATTGTTATGTTATAGTTTCATCTGAAAAAGAAAAGCAAAATAGGAAAATTTTCTCACCCTGCGTGGATTCAGTTCCGCCTTCAGTCACAGCATGTGGATGTCATGATCCCTGCCAGGCACTGTATTCTGTGAACCCTTGAATTAAAGAGGGAAATTAAGAGACTGTTGCCACAGAACAGCTAACCCATCTCTGGCAGGTCAGGCTTATAGTTTCCCTAATATGGATGGGGGCATTTGGAGGCAACAGTTTTTGTTTTGTTGCCCAAGACCCAGAACCTACTCCCAGACTGTTTTATTTCTTAATTTATTAATTTCCCCAAGGGTTTTGTTTTTAAGTCATTAATGTGTATACCTATATATTTTTACCGAAAACAGTGGTTTTTACAGGATGAGTTTGCAATGTCTAGAAACATTTTGGGTTTTCACAACTTGGGAGGAAGGGATCATGCTACTGATATCTAGCAGGTAGAGGCCAGAGATGCTGCTAAAGGTCCTACAATACTCAGGACAGCACTCTGCCCACCACCACCACCCACCAAAGTATCAATAATGACAAAGTTTGGGAAACCTAAAAACAATGCAACACCATCTTCCACATTTGTGAGAACTTCAAAATTATAGTATTCAACTTTATTCTTCCCACAACCCAAACTCCTCATGACTTAACCATTGAACAAAATAGTGAGCTCTCTTTATATTCCCAGGTTGGAACTAGGTAATACAGAGATGAAGGTGGAAGTGGCTCCTGTTCTCATGGAGTTTATAGTCAGTGACGTAAGTCACAGAAAAATTCTGGCCCAGAACATGAAGACTAAAGTCCACTAAAAGACCTCAATGGTTGTGGGACCAGCTTTACTGTGTTCCCTAAATTGGAGTGTACGCTTTCCTTTGTTAGAGCAGCCTGAGTTTTAGAATGTAGGGGTTCCATGGAAGACACACAAAACTAATACTACAGCTAATTTTACGTTGGGTGTCGCCAATGTGGGCTGTTGCTGATTCTTATACTTTACCAGTTTGTTGTACATGTGATATTCCTTAATAACAGACTAGCAAGTGTTTGAAGTCAGTGTGCACATTCACAAGACAGGGAGATACCCAGAGAAATTAAAAACTCTTCTCTAGAGATCATTAAGCTTCAGCAGAGTCCATAAACACATCAGGATGTTTCCTTCGGCCTCTTCTAGCGGATCCAAACCAAATCGCCCAAAGGATCCGCCAGCCCACAAAGGCCTCTGGGTCAGAACTCTCCAGTCTGAGCGTGGAAGACACAGGTAGGAACTCATGGGTGTCCCCTTTTGTTACACAGATGTGCCGTGGATCGACATCCCACAGACATCAACATCAATTTAACAATACTCTGTTCAGACTCCAATGGAAAGAACAGGTCATCAGCCAGAATCCTACAGATAATAAAGGGGAAAGATTATGGTGAGTAGAGCATCATTTGTTGGTTTAGTTTGGTTTTATCTTATTTTAGAATATAAATTGAAGAGAAAAGGATTTCTGCAGAAAGAGCCCTGGGAAAGCATAAAAACACTGGCCTAACAGTGGCGAAGGAGTAAATTGCTCACTTTTTAAAGGTCCAGGAACTCTTATAAGTCCCCAGGGTTCCATTGGGGTAATTACCTTTCCCACAGATTAAATGGTGCTCGGTCAGTCCAAAAAATGTAATGGACCTTCAAAAGTTAGCCGTTCATATTTGCTCATCTGAGAATCAAGATGAATAACTTCTATTTATGTAATATATAAGGGGGAACTTGTCTTAACATCTTATATGCAGAGCAAAAAACAAGTGTTAAGTGTAAGGAATTTTTCAATAACCAGCATGCTAGTCTTAGCAATTAGGAAAATTATAAGTGTTTCAAATAAGAATGTAATTTTTTAAATGTGTTTATCTTAGGGAAAACAAGGTAATAGCCTTGCAAAGACATGTCATGGAAATGTGATGTTTAGACATTATTTTTAATAACGTGACTACTAGAGTTATTTAGAGATACATATAAAATTGGATAATTTGAAGTCAAAGATACTTAACATCTTTCAACGTTTTAGTATTTATTCCTTTTGGAGGAAGCAACATATCAAATATTATGATTTAGGGAACACAGTAGATTAAGATTATTAAATTGATTGCTTCTTCTATTTACTCATTAAATACAGATATTTATATTCAGTACCAGGAATGAAGCAGCTGTGTTAGTTCATGTGGTATTCGGTTATTTTACTTTATTTTTTTTCCAGGTATTCGTGTGTGTGTGTGTGTGTGTGTGTGTGTGTGTGTGTGCATCTTACAAAAGCCAAACCAAAGAATAATGTGGTTTGGAAAAAAAAAATCTAATGAGTCACTAGCTTGCTGGAATTCCAGCTATATTTGTAGATTAAGCTAAATTCTACAAGCACATTAATTGGGGTTCAGCTGAAAATGGTTACAATATTGGCAGCCCTATGTTTATGTATTAAAAACACACTGAATCTTTTCCCAATGTATACATATATCAAATCACCATGATGTACACTTTAAATATCTTACAATTTATGACCTAGCCAGTTTGGTTCAGTGGAAAAAGCGTCGGCCTGCAAACTAAAGGGCCCCGGGTTCGATTCCAGTCAAGGACATGTAACTCGGTTGCAGGCTCGATGCCCGGCCTTGGTCGGGGCATGTGCAAAGGCAACCAATCGATGTGTCTCTCTCACATCTATGTTTCAATCTCTCTGTCTCTCTACCTCCCACTCTCTCTGAAAATAAATGGAAAAATATCCTCAGGTGAGGATTAACAAAACAACAATAAATAAATATCTTACCATTTTATTTGTCAATTGTATCTCAATAAAACTGAAAACAACAACAAGTAAGCACAGCCACGGTGCTTACTACAAGCCAGCCCTGGCAGTAAGCACTTTATAAACTTTACTCATTTCATTCACAAAACAACCCTATTCGATAGGCACTAGGCCACACTGTCCAGATGAGGAAAGTGAGACAGAAAGATTAAATCCCACGCAACATAAAGTGGCAGGGCCTGGATTTGAACCCCAGAGTTCAACAGCCTGACTCCAGAGTTCATGTCCTCAATCATTCAAATAGTCTACCCCAAGGCGTTGGTGGTGTAGTGGTGAGCATAGCTACCTTCCAAATAGTCTACATCTCAGAGTACTGGTTATTTAAAATCTATCTTTTCTACTTCTTATAATATCATATTCATCATAATCACATGGTGAAGGGGGGGACTTTAAAATTGCTGTCTTCCCAGGCACATTTATGCCTAAAATACTGCCTGCTGATAGTGACTTATTTATATTAAGCACATAATGTACTTAATGAGTAATAAGTAATTTTCAGATCGATTTGCAACTACAGATCTTTTTCACTGCAATTAGCATATGTGTATTTAAGTGTATCATGACATGTGTGAAAAAAGTGAGGTCATGTCCATACATGTGATTCAAAGGGAATGACTGCGTTTGGCTTTGTTAACTACACAACCCTATTAAATATTTTAAATGAAGATATACTTGACTAAGTGACAATGTTTGAAATGTGTAAATGTGGTTTTAAAGACCTTTTATGCACTATACTTTTATTTTCATTAAAGTGTGAACTTTTAAACAATTTATATAATGTCTAGCTCAGTTTACTAAATATATGCTGAAGCATTTCTATAAAAAGATCCAATATTAAAAAATTAAGTATTATTTTTAAGTATTTTGGTTCTAAAGTAAGTAACTATGATTTTCAAAATATCCAGATTCTAATTGCATTAAAAACTTTCTAAGTCGCCGAAACCGGTTTGGCTCAGTGGATAGAGCGTCAGCCTGCGGACTGAGAGGTCCCGGGTTCGATTCCGGTCAAGGGCATGTACCTGGGTTGCGGGCACATCCCCGGTGGGGGATGTGCAGGAGGCAGCTGATCGATGTTTCTCTCTCATTAATGTTTCTAACTCTCTCTATCTCTCTCCCTTCCTCTCTGTGAAAAATCAATAAAATATAAAAAAAAAAAAAAAAACTTTCTAAGTCTTGGCAGTTACAATAACAGCAAGCACGTCAGAGCATTCCCATTTCATTAAGCTGTACGTGGAAGCCCTTTAAATTTATACCAGTTAAGCAACGGGAGCAACTATTTTCACTAAGTATCTATAGCAAGGCTCCACCTCATGCATGATGGAACACACTTCAGAGTTAAAGTAAATGACTGGAATAATTGTGGCTGGGCCGACATCACTTTTACTTTATGAAAATATGTTTCATCTGATCTAATGCTATGTCCATTTCTTTCCAGAAAGTGAGCCATCACTTTTAGAATTCAAGCTATTTAGCAGTGGTCCTTTGGTTGGCGGGTTTGTTTACCGAGGCTGCCAGTCGGAAAGGCTGTATGGAAGCTACGTGTTTGGAGACCGTGATGGGTAGGCGTCCTGATCCCACAATTTGATATACTGAATGACATATACATTGATTAGGGGTCAGGCTGCCATAAAGTATTCAAGTGAGTGTCTCCCTTTGGGGGTCAGCTCTGGGACAAACACACAGATATTATTTATGTTTAGTTCCCCTATTGTATGGAGGTTTGAAAAACTACCTAAGAGATGCTTTTTAAACAGACTTGATCAAGTTCCTAAAATAATTTTCTTTGTGTCCAACACCACAAACATTAAATCTTGGAATAATATAATAAAATGATTGTAGCAACAGGTTTAAAATAAACCATACCTTGACGTTGTATCTTCATCAATTATAAATAATAATAATAATAATAATTTTCTGTAGTGCAGAGAAGTCCTCAGGACTTTTGAGATTACGTAGGCTCTTCCCTTCATCCTTACCATAAATTTGCCATGATAATGAGTAACTTGAAAACTATGGTTTTATATGAGTTTATAAATATTTTAAAGATAATCTTGGAAGGCTGAGAATTTTTGCTTTTGCCAGATTTTCAGGACTTTGGGCAAGTTAATTAGTCTCAAGTGGTAGGAATACTCCAAAATTACATTTTAGTTTAAAGTTAAGGTCACGTTGTGGATAATTATAAGAAATTCTGTGATGAAACCCAAATTCAGAATCTTGTTTCCCAAGTCGCTGGCATTCAGGCGCATGACAGAGCTGATTTGCTTGGTCACTACAGGAACTAGAAAAGTATACTGACCCCTTTATCTCCCCCTGCCCCTCTCTCTGATTGATAGCTCAGCATGGAATCTAGTCCTGGAGAGGAAGTATCATTCTCTGGATGAAGGGGCGGGCTTTTCTCAGACTCAGGTACTTTTAGTGCCCTGGGGGAACAAAATACTACCTTTCAGTACTTTCTCCCCACCTGGGAATTTCACAGCATTCACACACATTATGGGCTAGAATATTTTTCCCTTTAGAAGCCAGGCCTATGGCACAACAATTATTTATTGAGTTTTAATTTAGACAACTGCTTGTGTTTTTTAAGCAAAGGAGTGTGTTCACTGTAGGTTTATGGTGTGTTTGTGTTGCAGGAATTTCTTAACTCTACAGCAAAGCCCCGGGACCAAGCAATGGCAGGAAAAACCACTCTGTCTCGGCAATGGTGGTTCCTGTCGAGGCTACTTTTCAGGTCACATATTGGGATTTGGAGAAGATGAATTAGGTACCGTACAAACTTTTTCTATTAAGTTCCCTTCTCATTCCTTTGCCTGGAGGTTTTGTCCTGCTCGGAAGAATAAACACCACCCTCTCATCCTCCTGTGTTGGAAATGTCACCTAGAGCAAAGATGACCACCTGGAGAGATTTCAGATGGTCCAGTTATTTCTTGGGTTCTTTCAATAACCTTTCTGTGGGGAGCTGTTACATCCGATTTCCACTCCAGAAATATGAAAGTCACCAAAGCAGGAAAATGGGAGACAGGAACAAAAGGAGAACTTTTGAGTCCCGAAGAGAGGGAAATTTTAAATGTCTACGGATATTTTGGATGCATCTGAGTCATTTGTTTAGATTCTCTATCTGAAAACCTTCCCATTTATCCATGCCTCTTGGAATAAATTAAAAATTTGTTGCAATCCAAATTTCACTTATCCTCTATTTCCAAATTTTTATTTTATGTCCATTGGGACATAAAATTTGTGCAAAATAATCTGAGTTTATAGATCTGCTTTGCAACAGAATAGAAATGATCTTCTTATTGATGATCTATGGAATAACTTACAATTTATTTGTTGGTATCTATAATAAAAGCCTAAGTGACCATTATGGTGTAACTACCAGAACAACCAGTCGCTATGATGTGCACTGACCACCAGGGAGCAGACGCTTAACACAGGAGCTGCCCCCTGGTGGTCAGTGCACTCCCACAGGGGGAGCGCCACTCAGCCAGAAGCCGGGCTCACAGCTGGTGAGTGCAGTGGTGGTGGTGGGAGCCTCTCCTGCCTCTGCTGCAGCACTAAGGAAGGAGCAGCAAGCAGAGTGGTAAGAAGGGTAAGAAGCAGTGAGCAAGCAGGCAATAAGGAGTGAGGGGTCCCGGATTGTGAGAGGGATGTCTGACTGCTGGTTTAGGCCCAATCCCTACAGGGAGCAGGCCTAAACTGGCAAGCAGACATCCTCAGAGGGGTTCTAGATTGCGAGAGGGCACAGGCTGGCTGAGGGACTCCCCGCCCAGTACATGAATTTCATGCACTGAGCCTCTAGTATTATCATAATGTCTACATAAAGAAGTTAAAATTAGAATGTGATCAAAGAGTAGAAATGCCACTAATTTTAAGTTTTAGAGATAAATGTCACTTTCATAATACTTCCCTTTAAAGAAAAATGGCAACTATGCCCCTTTAACATCAAGGATGAATTTCTCAGTGTTAAGAAAGAGTTGTGTTTCCCATTTCCCATTGAAATCAGAATATTTTCTCTAACCGTACAGACTTGGTTTTCCTGCACCAAATGAAGGATTTGTCAGAAATCGTTACACGCCATTTACTTAGGTTAACAAGGAACTCAGACAAGACTCCTGAAACACAGAACACATATTTCAGAGCCACAGGAATATAATGATTCAAAGAAGAGAAATCCAATCTGTCCTTTTCTTATTCCAGCATTAGAAGCATTTTACAATTAATTTTCCCTTGATATTCTCCTTCCCCACTTATAGGACCCAGAAAGATACCCTTTTTCTCTTAAATTCTCTGTACTATAATTTACATTTCATTGGCCAACTCTTATTTGAAAATACAAATTAGGATTAACTTGCTTGTGCCAGAGTCAGAGATGAATATTTAGATGCTGTGACTGAATCATTTAGATTTCCCTAGACCTTGCTACAAATGATTCACCCTCAATCATCCTATAAGCAGCAGCATCACTGGTTAAAATACCCAAGTGTCTGTCTACACTTAATACTATGTTGGGAGCAGAACCAATAAATAAAACATATACAATCCTTCCTTCCCCAAAGCTACAATGTCGTGTATACTTTATAATTAAAAATATACTTTCACTGAATATTGATTTAATGTGAAACTGGGCTTAATTAAGAGCCATTTAAGGAAATAAGTTTTGGAATTTTTGATACAAAAAGTATTAAAAGTCTGTTTTTCCTATGTAGTTTTTTAAAATATTTTTTTGTTGATTTCAGAGAGGAAGGAGAGGGAGAGAGATAGAAACATCAATGATGACAGAGAATAATTGATTGGCTGCCTCCTGCACGCCCCACACTGGGGATCAAACCCACAACTTAGGCATGTGCCCTGACAAGGAATTGAACCTTGACCTCCTGGTTCATAGGTCAAGACTCAAACACTGAGCCACACTGGCCAGGCCTATGTGCGGGTTTTTTTTATTATAAAATCAGGATGGGTTTGTAAGAAGGATCAAATGAGGTAAACTATCTAAAGAACTTGATAAGATAAATATTCATTTTTTACTTACATTACCTTGTTTTTCATTTTTACTTTTTCTGTTGTGTGTAAGTTTTGAGCACAAGCCATGTCACATCCATCTCAGAAGTAAGAAAGTAGTAGGGTTTTCTTAATACACAATAAATAGAGGGGAATAGAGAAGTATAGAATAAATCAAGAACTATTTCACGAATGAGAACCAAATATAAATGTTATAAACATGTAATCGTAAGTATAGATTCTAGTTCCCTATTCATGTGATCCACTCTGAACACTGAATTACATGGAGGTACTGGTAATAAGTAAACAAGAGTGGTTCTCTCCTGACAGGGTCTGCTGTCTGTTGTATTTCACCATCATGAACATAGCCTAGCACTGAGAGTTAGGGAGGCAGAGTTGGGATTGAGCAACCGGGTCTCTCTCCTTCTGTTTTTCCAAATTTTTATTTATATTGTTTAAAAAGCTAAACATTAAAAAGACGAGTACCCCAATTCCATCTAGCCTCAAATTATCAATTAACAGTGACAACAGGGTAATCAAACCTTTCTGTCTTGGGCAGAATAAATCAAGATAAAACTTGCCATTCAACACTCATTCTACAAATATATTCTGTGCAAAGCTCTGTTCTAGGTGTTGCAGATACAGCAGCAGATTTAGAAAAATCTAAACTGTTGCCATGAAATTTATATTCTAAAGGAGGACAATAAAAGTAAATTTTAAAAATATATACTGTGTCAATTGGTAATAAGTGCTTAGGAGAAAAATCTAGTTGTGGAGAAGGATATAGATTGCTGGGGATTGGGACAAGTGGAATTTTAAGTAGTATAGTCAAGAAAGATGATGTTTAAGCACAGACTTGAAGGAGGGAGGGGGAGTGAACCCACTGGGGATCTACTGAAAGACAGGAGCCTGAGGCAGGAGCCTGGGACAGGAACCTGCCTTGTGTGGTCAAAGCCAAGAGGCCAGTGAAGCTGGAAAGGAGTGAACAAGGAGGCAAAGCATTGCAAATGAGGCAGAACAATAAGGGGTGAGGGGAGACAGCACAGGCCACTGTCAGAACTTGGCTTTGCTCTGAGAAAGATCAGAAGCCATTGGAGGCTATCGAAACAAGAGTGTGATCCAGCTCATAGGATCTAATTGGTTTGCAAGAATCACTGTGGCTGGTATGTTGAGAGAGGACACAGAAGGACAAGGCTAGAAGCAGGGTGATCATTTAGGAGGCTGTTGCCATAATCCAGGTGAGAAATTAATACCTGTTTGCAGGCGAGTAGCAGTGGACTACAGAGAGAAGTGGGCGGAATCTGGGTGCGCTGTGAAGGCAGACGTGTGAGACTCTGTCATAGATTTTAGGCAGGTGATTTCCTGAGGGTGTGTGTGTGTGTGTGTGTGTGTGTGTGTGTGTGTGTATGGGTAGGTGTGTGCACGCGCATTGGAGCACACACACATACACATGTACAAATACATATACTGTGGATTAATTTATTGCATTTCTCTCTACATAGGGGAAATTTACATTCTATCAAGTAGCAAAAGTATGACCCAGACTCACAATGGAAAACTCTACAAAATTATAGATCCCAAAAGGTGAGATTTCTTTTTGTATTCCTTTGAGTCAAGAAATATTCTTCTCCACATTATTTTAGTGCATTCAAATTAGTGAAAGACAAATTACAATGAACAACTGAGAAAGATGACTGCCTATGCCTTGTCCCCATGCTACAGTTGTCCTGAGAGGACCCTCAGCCCCAGTCTGTGAGAGCTAGACTGGACTATGCTGAAACTCAAAAGCCTTATTGCTATCACACATTCAGGTCATTCTTGTTGTCGGGGCGGGGGGGTGGGGGGGGGGGGAGGGCAGCATTATGTTTGTGGAATGAGTTGAGTCCTCAGTTAAATGTGAGGAGGACCTGGATGTATGAGGAAGTGGCTTCAGCTCTCCTGGGAGAAACAATGAAACCAAACCCCCCCCCTCCTGCCCCCTTGTCTTTTGAGAAAACTAGAAATATGCTGGCAGACATTGCAGCTGCTCACTGTGATTTTTGGTAGGTAATCAGGATAAGTTATTTTGGCTGTTCAACATCTGAGCCTCATTTCAAAACTCCCTGGAAGTTCACAGCTCGCGTGCAGGCTTCTGTGACTAAACAAATGAAAACTGACAATGTGTTTTGTTATTTACCTCAGCAAAAAGGAGACTTGCATGTTTTAATCCTTTAAAGAGTATATTTATCCCTGTCCTGCTCCTCTCCACCCACCAATCACAACACACACACACAGCGTTCAAATTATCTTGAATCATAATTAGTCAGTCGTTAATTTCATGGATAAAATTGGACTCTCAGAAGCTGCTAACACTATATACGGTCAAATAGAAATTGGTCACAAATTTGGAAACAACTATTACAGAACCTAGGTATCCTCACGGACATGACCATTGTTGGACACCAGTAGTCGTGGGAGCCCTGCTACCCCATGTGACGAACTTCAGATTAGTTCTACACTAACTTATCTTCATAAGCCCATTTACACACTTCAATTCCTGTTTCAAGTCTTTTAGAAGAATAAATTCTAGTAACCTGAAAAGTTTACTAAAAGCAGTAATTTAGCTCTATTTTAGAAACATTTTCCCAAGTTGTAAATTGTGTATGTTTTTCTGAAAAAGTCACTAACAAAATGGAGATCCTTGTCCTTTTACCACAAAACACTGTCTTTTCCGAGAAAAATAGAGGTACTTCAGAACAAAAAGAAGAATACTCAGTTCTAAACTGTCTGTCCGAAGCATCGCATCTAGGCATCGTCCCACCGTGATAGCATCCCTTCTCCACGTAAGGCACACGTTTGCTTTCACAGTAAGACAAGGACCCTCTGTGCCCAGCAGGGGTTCTCTTCCTCCTTGAGTGTGAAACCAATGTTCTCTTTGTGAAAAGCAAAGTAATGAATGAAAAAAAAAATGTCAGACACCACGGTAACTGTTGAAGTTGGCACTATGAAGAACGGAATTCAAACTCATGTTAATTCATAAAATGCCAGCATTCTAATGATTCCTAATGAGGTCTGGGGGTTTCACTCAGATCTAACGCCATTTGTTTCAAAATAGCCATTGTTATTCCATTATGTTTGTCAAAGTTGGTCTGCATTTGCAAGCTTCCTGGTAGTGGTATAATGAATTCTCCCTCCTCCTCCTCCGGAAAATCTTTCTCTCTTCGTCTGGATTGTTTAGTCTGTTGGTGGTGCATGGAGGTGAATTTTACACCTTCAACCCATTATTAGTGTCTAATTACCAGGGTTGCCATAAGGGACCTTGGCTTTGTGATCTGAGGGCCCCCTCTCATAGGGTGGTCTCCGAGTGACATACCTGAAAGGCCTGACTTCTCATTATGGTGCCTGTTTCTGGTGAGTCGTGTCATGTGTGGGGCCAGGGTTAAGATGTGTGTTTGGTTTTCAGGAGGTTGGGGGAGTAACAGAGCCCCAAAGACACGGTCCTTGTACACAGGCAGAGGCACACATTTCCAAATCAAACTGACTGTAAGAAAACAAATGTTTTCATAAACATTTGTTGGGAGCCTCATTCTGTTTTGATTTGGATGCCAACGTTTATTATTACAGTATTTCGGCCTAGATGAATTGAATTTCTATATAAGTAGACAGTTTCGTGTATGTGAGCGGGATTATTTTGCAAACACAGGCTAATTACTGGCCTCACAGTGTTCAGAGTGTCTGCTTCAAAGCAAAAGTGTTTTTCTAAAACTTTGGAGGGAGAAATGAAAGAAAGAGCCTCATCAACTGAAAAAACAATATATAGACATTTCTTGTCATATCCAAAATCCATGTCAGGTTAACTCTCTTCTTGTGGAGGAGTCCCAGATTTGTAATGTTTTCAGAATATCTTTCAAACATGAATTGACTCCTGGCCCTGGAAGAGAGGAACAACAAATGATAAAAATTTTATATTCTATATTAGATGTCACAGAAGTTACTTTCTTACCATAGGATTTGTTTGTTTCTATTTTTCCCTACACACACACACACACACGCACACTCACATTTAAGAAAGATGAGGGAGTTTATAAACCATTTGTAATATTCTTTTTTTTATATATATGCATTTTATTGATTTTTTACAGAGAGGAAGGGAGAGGGATAGAGAGCCAGAAACATCGATCAGCTGCCTCCTGCACGCCCCCTACTGGGGATGTGCCCGCAACCAAGGTACATGCCCTTGACCGGAATCGAACCTGGGACCTTTCAGTCCGCAGGCCGACGCTCTATCCACTGAGCCAAACCGGTTCTGGCCATTTGTAATATTCTTTTTTTTTTTTTTTTTTTTAATATATTTTATTGATTTTTTTACAGAGAGGAAGGGAAAGAGATAGAGAGTCAGAAACATCGATGAGAGAGAAACATCGATCAGCTGCCTCCTGCACACCTCCTACTGGGGATGTGCCCGCAACCCAGGTACATGCCCTTGACCGGAATCGAACCTGGGACCCTTCAGTCCGCAGGCCGACGCTCTATCCACTGAGCCAAACCGGTTTCGGCAATATTCTTAAGTCACTCTGGCAAAAGCAGGCAAACTTCCCTAAGGACAATGTGGTCTGAGGCGGTATGCGACATAGTCACTTACATACGTGCTAAATCATTTCCAGGGGGCGGCCTTCTCAGAAGAGCGTGGTAAGATAACCTCTTATAAAAATCAAATGCTGCCCTAGCTAGTTTGGCTCAGTGGATAGAGTGTCAGCCTACGGACTGAAGGGTCCCGGGTTCGATTCCAGTCAAGGGCACAGACCTTTGTTGCAGGCTCTATCCCTGGCCCTGGTCAGGGCATGTGCAGGAGGCAAACAATTGATGTGTCTCGCTCACATAAGTGTTTCTCTCTCTCTCTGTCTTTCCCCCTTCCTTCCACTCTCTCTCTCTCTCAAAATCAATGGAAAAATATCCTTGGGTGAGGATAAAAAAAAAAATCAAATGCCATTATTTATCATGAAAGAAACTTCAATGAGAACACAACCAGGTTTCTCTAAGGCTTCACCAGAACTCTGGAGTCATTTAAAGAAAAAGCAGAACATTTTGCCTCTGTGTTGGTATCCTCTGAGGTGGAGCATTACATCTCATGGTGGAGTCGCATTAGGATCAAGTCCACCCCAACCACCCGCTTGCTGGGCCCACACACTGGGTCCCCCAAAGTCTGTAGTATGGGTTCTGTGTGCCCTATCTGGGAGCTCTTTCGGCCAGCAGTTCCAGAAAAGACTCCAACCCCATGAGCACAAGAGCTGGGCCACAATCCTAGTTTCACACTGTCGTGCCCCCTGAGACTGGCCGAGAGCAGCAGCAGATCTAGCCTGATAGGACATGGAGTCCATTGGTCTCGTCTCTGACTCTTCCTTAGTGTGGGCCCTGGGCCAAGTGGGTTCCCGTGGTGTGTCCCTTCGCTTTTGATATGGTCCTGAGTTCATGCTGCCCTACATCCTTTCTGCAGAGTGCTATGGAGGTCATGAAATACTGCATTTAAAATATTAAACTCTGAGTATTTTTGGTATTCGTTCCATGCCCTGAAGGATTATTTTCAGGTGATCTCTCAACATTTAAGTTTGTGTTAGTTCCAAAGTTAGGGTAAAGGTGTCCATGGAGCTGTAAAGAGCTCTTCATACCTAGTTTTCAAATATCCAAGACATGCCTTGGATGCTTGTTCTTTATGAAATCTTTTCAGAGGCAAACAGTGCTCCTGGGGGATAGAAACTAGAGAATTCCAAAAGAGTTATGCATTTTCCAAGCTTTATTATGTTTTGGGGTTTTTTGCACTTTTGATAAAAATTCTTCCATTTTTGTTTCAGATGAACTGAAAGCAAATGACTTTTTTTTTTTAATTTTGAAACATTTCTGGGGTTCTTTCTCCAGGAATTTATATAACAAAATCATTTCTAATCATGTTGGTTTAATTACCATGTACCCAGTTGTGCTGTATTTTAACATACTGCTTATCTGCTACCCAACCAAGTCCCACAGACCGTTCCCTTAAGGGGTCTATAAATGAACAATGCAAATTCCAGGCTTGAGAGGTCATTTTACAGAAATGCTGTACCTCAGACTCCTATGTGACCAATATCAAAACCTGCTCCTCTTGCCTGCTCCCTGCCGCTCCCCTCCACGGCCCCACTTACTGCCCTTTGTTTATTTTCTTAAAATATCTTCATCCTACTCCTTATTAATACTGGATGCTGAAGAGTGCTTTTTTTAAAAAAAAATCACTTTGTAAGAGGAAATCGGTTCTGTTTACCCTCTGCATACGTCTCAGGGAGCCGGCAGGCAGCTCTGCCATCCCAAAGAAAGTCATGCATAATAGAGAGGCTTTAGCCCAATAAGCCAGTCTAGTCCCAATTCATCAGTCAAAGTTTTATGCAAGTGGCCCCCCTAGGTTGATAAATCCCCACAGCGCCTGTTGACCCAGCTGCCAAGTCTCTTGCTGCAGGCGGTGTTTTCATGGCCACCCTGACAGTAATACAAACTGTTTAGCAGCTCCATTGACCTTTCAGCTATTAACAGGGACACAGGCTCCGCTAGGGACTAGTTTTCAAACATGACAGAATTTCTTAACACTAGAGGTCATGAACAAGTATATGCCCTATAAAAATCCATTCAGCATGGTGGATTTGAAATCTAAAGACAAGGAAGCATGTCCCACAGTTTGGCTATCGTTATTTTTCTACTTATCCAATAACTAAAAAGTGGATATATCTACCAGGGTATATTTTACTCTTAATGTACTACATTTTATGTTGTGATGCACAATATCTTTTTAACCAGCAAATCCTTTCTAAGCTGTAAGACATTTTAAAGATATATTACCAAAAAATGGGGTGAGAGCAAAGTCAAAATTTCTAATGAATGGATAAGCATGCATACATAATATATGGTAAGAGCCAAAACATAACTGGAATTTTATTCATACTTTACCAAGATTTGCTTATGTTTTTGAGTAAACCATGCTTATGGAATCCATACAATGCTACGTGGAGCCATCACAAATTCCAAAATAAATAGAAAATGTTATATAATAATTTATGGAAAGAAATATCTAAATGACCATGTTATTTTTAAATGGTTATATAATTCTTCTTATATGTATATCTTATTTCCTGGAGATATGATCTATGACCACAGCATTCAAAGGAATTTTCTGCTTTGTACTGTGTATTATAGTCTTTCTTAAATTACCAAATTTAAATGTTGGAATACCAGTTCCTAGAATAATTATATAGATTGCTATGAAAACTTGATTGAATTACCACTTACAAATGGCATTTGTTAAAAGGACATAAAATGGAGAATATAAATAGTGAAGAACATATTCTTCAAGATGACACTCATTTGTTAAGAGTTAAAACTCTTAAAAGCATTTCTTGGAATTCCCACATTTCTCCCCTGCCTGGAATGGTGGGAGATGTCTAAACCTTCTCAATACCTTATACTTCTATTGCAAGGAAAGTATCACCAGATGTTGTAGTACTAAAGATAAAGGCAGATTTAATCTTGCATGAAACAGTCACATATATTTGGAAAAAGATATTTTCTAGAGGAAGGTATAATTTTTAAAGAAAAAAACTGCATATTATCATTTTTTCACTCATCTGTTTTAGTTGGGTTTTTTAAAAATCTGTTGCTTAAATGACTTGCTTTTTTCAATATTGACAAATGAATCAAAAAGTGTTAACATCAAAATTTGGGAGTTTATCTTCATGGAGTTTATATATCAGAAAAAGTATTTGAGAAAGTTTCTACTATATGCATTCAGTTCAATTTAATAAACATCCATTGAATGCCTATATGGTATTTTCCTAGCACCTATGAATATAAGTAGTTGAAGGAGATAAAATACTTTGGTGGCTTAAATGTCATCTTTCTATAACATCCCTCAATCGTAAGCTAATTATTGCCTCCTCTGTATTCCTGTGTTACTTCATTTGTGCCTGTATCGTAACAAAGCTCACACTGGTTTAGTCTGCATTTGCATGTCTGTCTTCCCCATGGTTTGTCCATGAGGATCAGGATTCTGTTTTGTTTATATCTTATCCCCGTGAAGAGCACAGTATTTGCCTGAGTAATGACTGGACTTGAAGAGGTTGGAATATGTAGTTTTTGTCCTCAAAGCTTTATTCTAATTGGGAAGGGAAAAGGAGAGGATAATCTATTCCTTAAGAGAAGTGAAGTTCTGTAAGAAACGGGCTATGTTTTATGTAATTTTGAGTGAAGGTATTCCCAATAGACTAACAGTTTAAAAGAGAGAGGATTTATTGGACATGCTAAGTGAGGAATGTTAGTTGTCAACTTTATAAAAGAAGAAAAAGATGATTTTCCTAGGCATTTAAATAAAAACTTAAGGGAGTCATAACATTTATATATATGACAACCATACCATCTTATATATGCTAAAGTAAACCAGCCCAAATATGAAATATTTTCATCCATAGGTAGATAAGTATTCACTAAATCTTAGGCAGAAAAACAACTTAGAATTCTGCGCATAAGCTCTATGTCCGCATATATGAATATATGGTGAAAAATAGTCAAAGCATCTAATTGGAGGGTCAGTGTGGAAACAAGGGTCGGATACCCACCCTGAAAAACTGCACTTCAGAACTGGACCCCTATTCTCATGCCTGCCTTCCTTTCCTCGCCAAATTCCCACGGGAATCAACTTCCCTGCACTCTGCCTCAAACAGGCAGCATCTTCTGATTGCTGTCCTTTAACCGGAGCCACTTACATTCCTGATCTAAATGGTGTCTTCTCTTTAGATTCAGCTGCTCAGGCATAAGCCATACTGTCGAGTAGTACATGAGCTGTGTGCCTCCATGTTTTGCATGACGTATAACATGTAATATATTTTTGATACATTCTACTTCTGGGTCTTTTTTTTAATGGGTCAAAAAAAGGGTGAACAAGTGAATAACAAGTGGAACTGGATAACAGAATTCTAGTTACCAGTAAAATTTGAACAACACTGCTTACTGAGTGCCACCTGGTAAATGACCGTGGCCTATGACTTGGAAGAACTTCCTGGCTACTGAACAAATGGCTCTACTGATGGTCAAAGACACCACCATTGTCTCACAGATTAAGAACTGTAGTTGAGGAAGACAGAGAGCAGATTTGGACTAGTCAACAACAGTAAGAAAAAGTCAGAGATCATGCTCTCACTTCCCTTGGCATAATCTTTTCGTATTTTCTCTACCATATCCAGCCCTGCCCTTCATCCCCAAAAGACACCCTTGGGAAGCACGTGGAAAATATCCATTAATGTTTTCTGAGTAAAAATATGCTCGGTCCATGGAATGCCTTAGGGGTCTTTCTAGAAATTGACCATTTCTAGATTTAAATAAGGGATTGAATAGATTTAAGGGGGTTTTCTGAATTGTCATGTTAGTTGTAAAGCACAGTACTTTCAACTCAGATTGGAACTTTTACTGAGAGAAGTAAAAGAAGTCACTATATATTTTTAATATGATTTTGAGTCATTGTAGAAACAGCCTTAGGTCAACCTCCAAATTATTGCTGTTCACAGGGGCATAACAAGACAACCTATCTCAGGAACGGGGAGACTCTAAGGGGCCTAATTATTTGCTTCTCTCAGAAAGCTACCTCATTACCTCTTGTGGTGGTTGTGACCTATAATTATCACTTTCTTTGATATGCTACTGAAGGAGTCCCACCGCTTTGGCCATCCTGATGATGGCCATTTGACTGGTGATGGTGCGTTTATTTACATTCCTTAACCAACAAGAGCTTTCTCATCACACTGGGGCACAGGTAACAGTTCCTGATGAGAAGTGTACCACCACATGTCTTTCCCCAAAGATTATTAGACAGTGGGTAGTTAGTTGTGATCATGGTTCCAGCCTGACTCAGCTTGAAAGACAGCCTCTTCTTTCAAAAGCAGCGAGAACCATAAAAATCTTCGGAAGGCGTCTTGATCCCTCCCTAAATGATGGCAGTTATAGAGCAATTAAAAAAAATCTACGACTTCTTACTCAGCAGATAAGATGTTTCTCTTCGCTACTAATAGCATTCATTTCCTTCATAGCAGGATAAAATTAAACATTTTAAAATGTGTATCTACACATTCATCTGTGTCTATACAGGCAGTCCTCGGGTTAGGACGAACATCCTTTCGTGGTTATGTCGCCATCTCCATTTATTAAAAAAAAAAAAGTTCCATCATTTCAACGTATGTGCATATGTGCTTTATGTTTTTGATAATTTATTTACCACAAGTAAAGGTCAGGAATTGTTATCTTTCTTTTAAATTTTTTTTACTGTTTCACTGCATTACTTTCGTGTATGTGCTTCATGTGAGTGACGTAGGTGCTTATGTAGGGGGGTTCCGACTTACAGCGAAAATCACGTTATGTCGCGCCATAGGAACGGATCTCCGACGTAACCCGAGGACCTACTGTAAACATATATATATATATAATTCTTTGCATAAAGACTTGAAATTTTGAGTCAGTAGGATACACACTCATACAAATACACAGTGTAATATAATATCCTTTGCAAAAAAGTCAGCCTAAAAATGTATCTCAAAATAAATGTAAAATTGAAACAAAAATGGATTTCCAAGCTTTTTAAGCTACAAGCATTTGTTTTGCTAAATACTCTCAGCCTTGTGATAATGCCAAATATTCCAATAACAAGTGAAACGTATCTCAGATACTACAAAAAAATTTTGTATATCTGGAAATAAACATTTTTAATGTCTATACATCTATATTGTTAAAGTTGTAATTGCTAGGAAGTTTTAGCCAGCAAATATAAAATATCACTGTAGCATAATTATATTTTAATCAATGAATTTTGATCATGACAAAGTTTCTTACAATGTTTGCTAATGTCCTCTTTAGTTCAAACTGGCTAGTTTGTTTCCTCTCTGGTGTGTATTTTCTATCCCTAGAAAGTTGTCCCCCCAAAAAGTTGTCAATCTTTCCAAGTCACTTAAAAAAAGGGTCTGCTTAGAAAGCAAGAGATATACTTTGTGAGCTACAGAATCACTAGATTTCACTCCAGTATTGATTTTCAACCAATTTCTGTCTTTTGTTTCAGACCTCTAGTGCCCGAGGAGTGCCGAGCAGTGGTCCAACCGGCCCAGATGCTGACTTCCGAATGCTCCCGGCTCTGTCGGAACGGCTACTGTACCCCCACGGGGGTGTGCTGCTGCAGCCCAGGATGGGAGGGCGACTTCTGCAGAATCGGTCAGTACTTCCATTGTCCCAGCGAAAGACTGGGCAGGGGACAGTCCTTGGGAACTCAAGAACTTAACACCAGGTTATTTCTTCTTGAATTATGGAGTATTCAACATTCAGTCATTTACAATAATATTAATGCTCACTCTGCTCCTGAACTAGCAAATGAAAGCTTTCCCATTTTCCTAATGTAAACATTTCACATATATACGTTAGTCATAAACATAAAAGACTTTTAAATAATTGCATCCTTTCCAAAAGTAAAAATTAAAAACAGATCATCTAGACTCCCAGTCCTGAGTTTGAGATTTCCCACCAGCCAAGGACTTCGTGTTCGCAGAGCCCCTCTCCCAGTGTCAGCATTTTCCAGACGCCCCATAAATGCCTCTCAAACTTAACTGCTTGTTTTCTGGCTACAGTGCACTAAAAATAGGGTTCTTCTGTGGGCATTATTAAATAAAAGGGGGAAACACAATTGCCTAGAGGCATATATGAGATTTTTTAATCCTTTTGGCCACTCCCTTGTGAACCATCAACTAGGTGTGCAGATGCTCAGAGAGAGAGGAAGGAGGTTTATTCCAATTCCTCTATCCTTTAACGAGGGGTTTCCTCAGTTACGTGCCATGATGTTCAAATCCTACTTGGTATGAAGTAAGAAAGTTACATAACTTTAGATACTGAGTTTAAGATATCTATGTTGAAAATGCATTTTCAGGATAAATATTTTTTCCCTTTCTTTTCTTTATGTCTATATCAGATGAAGGGTGTTAACTAAACCTATTGTGGTAGTCATTTCACAATCTATGCAAATCAAAGCACCATGCTGTATACTTTAAACTTATACAGCGATGTCTGTCAATTATTTCTCAATAAAACTGGGGAAAAGATTGCCATAAGGATGAAAAATGAATTTTCAACAACCAGCATATATATATATATATATATATATATATATATATATATATATATATATTACGTACAATAAAAATTTTGACCTCTGCTATTTTAAGTATTAAAGTATCTCTTGCCAATGAAAATTAAAAGCCCCATTCTTAATTCATAAATGTTAACTTTTTTCTTTACCCTAAACATGTATTTGTTTCAGAAAAATTACAACCATAACTTGTCTACTTTGTATATTGTATGACAAAAAGTAGCCAATATTTAAAGTTACATATACAGCCTATATTTTAAGCTTAAATTATTTCAGCACTAATAACATTTCATGATTGATTAATACTATGGTTACTATACTATCAATGTTCAAATGCACTAATATTCTAATTTCTGAGACTATATCTCCCCTCTGCTCCCTTTGATTCCTGACAATATGCATTCTCTCTGCTTCTTCTATATTGTGTCCATTCTGTTTTATTCCTTACTTTGCATTTTGCCTAACTTCTCAAACTACTAGATCACAAATATTTATTTAGTGCCTTCTAGCAACAGTACATTTAAACTGATGGCAAACAAATTATATGGGTGACATTATACATATACCATAATAGGTATCTACACTAATAGAAGAGAAATATGCAAATTGACCATACTTCGTGACACCCCCACAGCCAATCAGGAGTGATTATGCAAATTAACCCAACAAAGCTGGCAGATTAATTTGCATACACAGGCACCAAGTGCCCAGGGGCAGGGCAGCCGCTTGCGTGTGCACCGGTGACAAGCAGCCTGGGTCCCGGGGACAGGCGTCCTCAGGAGCCAGGCTGCTCTGAGCCTGTAGGCCCGCATGTAGGCCCGGAGTGCCTGGGGTCCTGGAACAACCCCTGGCCACTCCGGGCCTATGCGCACAGGTGCCGAGCAGCTGGGGGTGGGGTGGGAACATCCCCAGGACTCAGGCGCTCCAAGTCGGCATGCGCACAAGCGGCCGGGGGCAGGAACGTCCTCCGCAGCAAGGGAGCAGACAGCAGACAGCAGGGCCCTGCTTGCCCCTGGCCCTGGTGGTGAAGGGCAAGCAGGCCCCCACAGAGAGCAGACACCAGGGCCAGCGGTGGCATCAAGCAGGCAGGTCCGCAGAGAGCAGAGAACCATGGGGAGCAGGCCTAAGCCAGCAGTAGGACATCCCCTGAGGGCTCCCAGATTAGAGAGGGTGTAGGTCGGGCTGAGGGACCCAACTTTCCCCCCCTTCCTCCCCACCCCCATGCACAAATTTCATGCACCGGGCCCCTAGTTAATAATAATATGTGATATAAATGAAAATAGATATTCTTTGAGCTAACATTAAGTTTTATTTCAATAAAGTACTTTAATCTTCCCAGTAAATCAATTTAAATAATTTAAACATATAAGATAAATCAGAACCATTTCATAAGATTAAACCATTTGTGATATTTGTGACCCAAGCAAGAATTTTATTCCTATACTCACATAGTTTACTCATCTCCCACAAATTTAAAAGAGAGAACAGTCTATTTCCTTTTTGTTCTCCCTTTTCCATGTGTCAACCACAGACCCCCTTTTTTTATTTTATTTTATTGCTTAAAGTATTACAAAGGGTATTACATATGTGTCCTTTTTTTTTTCCCCCGCCCTTGACAATCCCCTGGCCTCCCCTACCCCCCAGTGTCTTATGTCCATTGGTTATGCTTATATGCATGCATACAAGTCCTTTAGTTGATCTCTTACCCGCCTCCCTCCTGCCCCCCAACCCTCCCCGGCCTTCCCGCTGCAGTTTGACAATCTGTTTGAGGCAGCTCTGCCTCTGTATCTATTATTGTCCATAAGTTTATAATGGACAGACCCCTTTTTGATTAATGTGTTGCAAAGGTTAAAATGACCCTGTCCCCTAAAAGTATAAGGAAATGTATTCAAGGAATTTGATTCTGCCTACAGGGCTGTACATCCCAGATTTATCCTATCAGCAAAAGACAATTAAGTTATATACCCAATTTTCTCTCTCCATCTCATTTTAGCAGTAAATCTTTACATTCCCACCAATACTGTAGTGGTGAAAGTCCTTTTATGGAGAGATCCTGTGCTGTAGAGTAGCCCTGAAAAGGATTGCTAAGAACATCCTTCACTGGCCAACTGCACTGATCCAGGAAGGACCTTCCATGTGTTCTGAGAGGCAGCATATGCTGGGTACCTCGTAAGAGCAATGAGGAGGGGTCCTAGGAAGTCCAAGTGCTCACTACTGCATCAAAACCGACACTGACACCTGACCATCCCTTTATGTTATTTGGAGATGCTCAAGCCATGGCCTCCCTCATGGGCCAGGCCCTTCCCACACTGAGGTCCTCCCTGGGGGAATAGGAACATAGAATTACATGGAAATGCCCTAGTGGGGCCGAGTCTTGCAAAGAACTGAAATCCTTGTTTTAAAGAGTCTGTTTTGCAAGGGATTAAAATTGTTTCCCATGATCTATGCTTTTATGGCAAGGTCTCCCATTCTCTGCTGAGGTCTGGTCTGCAAATAACTTTGGGTTTGAAAGCGTTCTTCCCTTCTTGTCTTTATTATCTTTTGGATTATTCTGTGACTGGCTTCTGCCTCCTCTCCCTCCCTTCCCTTACTCAACGACGACTTGTGCTGTTTCTGACATACACGACGTTGAGTGTGATTGTATTGCTCTTTTCTTTTCCTCCCAGCAAAATGTGAGCCAGCCTGTCGTCATGGAGGTGTCTGTGTTCGACCCAACAAGTGCCTCTGTAAGAAAGGATACCTTGGTCCTCAGTGTGAACAAGTGGACAGAAACATCCGCAGAGTGACCAGGGCAGGTATTCTTGATCAGATCATTGACATGACATCTTATTTGCTGGATCTAACAAGTTACATTGTATAGTTTCTGGGACTGTTTGACTATTCCTTTCCAATGGGCATTTATTTTTTATCCTGTCATTAAAAAGAAAGACTGTTATCCTGCTACACACTCCTGTGATTTCATTTTCTTTTTATTAATTTAAAAATAGTTTCCAGAAATGTGCAGATTCTGTGTGTGTATGTTGGCACGTCTGTTCACATACGCACGTACACACACTCACAACCCCTATATGTATGGTTGCATAACAGATGGGTTTTAAAAATATATATATTTCCTTGTGTGGAGTAATTTACACAGAAATTCCATTGTAAATTGATAACGGGATTTTTTATATTACCAGAAGAGATTATTTGACTTCCCAGGAATTTTCTGTCTGTAATAACTAAAGTCAACTTTAATGGAGTTTTGAACCATTACTGTGCAATCTGATGGATCTAATAAAAAAGGCAATATTTTTATATTAAAGGACTATAATGTGAGAATGTTTCAGAACTCCCTGATGAATTTCTAAATGGGCAACTTGATTTAAAACTGTAATCTTCATTTTCATCATTGTATCCAATTACAAAATGTTATGCACTTCCTTTTTTTTTGGCGGAGAAATCTGGTTACTCTAGCTTAATATTAAGATTGTTCTCAAGTGTTTTATAATTAAATCATAACAGCATATTCTAAAACCAATCTTCCTAAAAGGTCTGCTTTTATTGTATATTTTATTTAACAATAGGCACTGGGTTTGTGTTACATATTTATATTTTTTATTTTATTTTTATAATATAGACATCACCTAGATGAAACACCTTTACCCTGTCCTGTAAAATACTAAAGTTACATTTTTCACCATCTTAATTGGAAAGAAGGGGAGTGAGAAAGCAAACAGTCTTAAATGTGCTGTGGATCTAATCTAGCAATGTATCCTTGTGCCAACATGTAATCCTTAACGACGGATGAAAAAGCAAGAAAACAACCAGTCCTTATAAAATGCCAGCATTAAACGTTTGTAAAGTGCTTTTCACCGTAGCAAGACTGTCCGTGTATGCGATTAGAGCGTAACAGATTGCACATCAACCGAACCTCACTGGAGAAGAGTTCACTCGCTTTTAAACAAATCCTGGCTATGTAAGCTGTCCCTTGTACAAACTTTTCATATAATAATTCTTGCCAAATATGACTTTTCATGTATATGTTCCTCCAGATCTCAATGAAGTTCCTCTTTGGTTAATGTATGAATAAATTTCTGTAAATGTTCTATTCAGGTTTTCAAAGAAATGCTGTTCTCACTCACAACTGTAACAAGTCTGATAGACATTTTTCTTAATGGTTTTCAAGGCCAGCTCTCCATGTCTGGATTATAACAAAATTATAAGGCCTCTTTGCACTACTGAAAAAAACACCTACCCGTGACATGCGCACGCCCACGACAGGCTGCCCTCCAGCAAACAGCTGTTCCTGCAGAATCTAAATTGGAGAGTGGTATAGATTATACAGCGCAGGCTGACTTCCCAAACCTGCTCCTTCCTTTCAGGAACAGGAACCTCAGTGAAAAAGAATAAAATCTTGTAACTAGTATTTCTCTACTGATTTAAAGCAGGAAGGGTTGCAGTGAAAGCACAGTGAGCATTTATACAGAAGCCACAATGTGGAAAGATTGGTTAAGCACACTGCTCTTGTCTTCCATATATGATTACTTAAGTTTCAAGTGACCTCATGCCACATGGAAATGGGTTGAGAAATCTTGGTTCAGTGCTTAGTGAACAATAGCTGCATTAAAAAGTGCATGCATAATTTTGCACAATTTAGATTCAATTGACAGTCTATTCAAAGAAGTCTCAGAATTAAATGAGCATGGAGACCAAATTGCCCTCTTACCCCAGAAAAGGGGTGGTCCCTTCTAGTCACACTAACACTGCATTGGCCCAACAGTGTGACAAATCTTGCAATGAACCCTGCAGTAGCCTGCATCTGTAGGTTAATAGCAGTCTTTTGTCTCCATTGCTTTCTCTTCATAGCCCTTTTACTGAATTCCATCACAGAAAGTTTTACAATTTAAAAAAAAATGTCCTGACAACCATTTTTGTAAATGGACCTTACCATCTAATCATCCCTTATTCAATGTGGTGACATTAACAAAATGTGAACTTTTTGTGAGGGAGCCGGCTGTCTGAATCTGTCAAATTGTGCAGTTTTATTACACATTCTCCTGGTCATAGTTTCACTGAAAACAATAAGGATACTGCTATATATTCAGTAAAATCTGGAAAATCCAGTGTTTCTTCTTACATCCTGAATCTTTCCATCTCTTCCAAAATAATATTTCCCATAGACAAGGTGTTATATTGTCATTAGTTCTCCTATTTAAAAATATCTATATTAAATTGAGCAGACCCCGGTTTTTTATACAGTCCTTTCCTAAGTGGAAGATGACTTAGAAAAACATATGTACCCCAAGTGTCAGTGCTTTTTCTATTTTGAGTCATTAGAATGAAAGAACACAATCTTCTAAAAAGAAGATAACAAGATCTGTGGATATCATACCCAAGCAAAGAAAGGAAACTCATTGGAGTCATTTCTTTCTGTTCTTAGGAGAGACATAAGTAGCAGTGATTAATGGATGCCTACAGATTTTATTTTATTTTTAAAGTATTTTTTGTTGATTTTTGAGAGTAAGAGAGGAGATAGAGAGATAGAAACATAGATGAGAAAGAGAGACATAGATCAGCTGTCTCCTACTTGCCCCTCACTGGGAACTGAGGCCGCAACTCGGACATGTGCCCTGACCAGGAATCGAACCCGGGACCTCTTGGTTCATGGGTAGATGCTCAACCACTGAGCCACACAAACTGGACATATGGATAGCTACATATTTTAAACTCAGTGGTCATTTCAAACATTTTTTGAACTATTATTTCAAGTAGATTTTTTAAATATGTGACCGGAGAATTGTCTTAAATGATTCATAATGAGAGACAGATAGGAATTGGTTAAAAAGTGGGAGCTAAGGAAAAGTTACTGTTTCTTCCCACAAATGGCAGCATCTCCACCAACTCAGTTCATAAAGCACACAGTCAGAATGGAAGAAATGTCCTTGTGAACGCAGGCGTGTGAGATCAAGATGAAACAGTGAAATAGAAATATATATATTGTTATGCCTTTATCTGTTCTAATATGTGGGTGTCAGTTTAATATGAAACGCTGCTATGGTAGACTAGAAAGAATTGGAAAAAAAACTTCCTGCCACTGCTTCTACCACACTCTTGTCCTAGTTAATAAAATTTTGTTTTCTTGCCAATTATATAAGGTAATGAGAAGAAAATGAAATTGGCACATCATTAAAGTGAAAAAGAACAGATAATTTCAGAAATTTGAGTGATGATAAAAAGCACTTTTCTTCTTTGAATTTTGTTTCAGTGCGGCTTTTGTAAAATATATTTTTTATTTTATCACAAAGAATACTTAGATGTTTTCTCAGATTAATGGACTATCTTGTAAAGAAAGAGCAAAGAAACCTACACATTCAATATATGCACACAACCTAAATAGAAAACTCTTTTTCATTTACATACTTCAGAACAGGCGCTTCTTCTGATTTTTTTCTTTGAAAATAATTACATAATGATGTACTAACAATTTTTAATATATAGGGTGTCCCAAAAAATGTATACCCACACTTTGAATAATTTTAAAGGCAGTATTTATTAAAGTTTTCAAAATTGAGCTATTAGCTGCCAAGGTATGTATACATTTGAGGGGGACACCCTGTATTTCTTTTTAAGATTGTTTTTATCTCTGAATCATGTACTATACAACGAAGCGTGCTAGGTATAAGTTATGAGGTTAGATGGCACAACAAGAGTCTTCTAAAGTATACATAAATTTAAACTTTTACTAGTCAAACTTTCTTAGCTTTAAAACATAAAAGAAAAACCAAGTCCAAATTTGTAAGAGGAAAAATAAAGTATACCACAGGCAGCTGTAGTTGGCTGATCAATAAAGTTTCTGAGCATCTCTACAGAATGTTACCTATGATAACTATTTCTCTCTCTTCTCTCTCTCTCCTCTCTTTCCTTTTGCCCCTTCCCCCATATAGCTTTCTAACTTTTAACCTCTCCCTTCTCTCTTTCTCTGTCTCTTTTTTTTTTTTTTTTTTTTTTAACAAAACAGACGTCCCCAATACACCCATAATGAAGATGTCCTGGGGTAGGCTGCTACTGATTTTGCTGGTTATTGACTTTTATTTAATTTTCTGAAAAAATACTGTCTCCTGATGTCACATTTGCTCAGACTCTGTACCATGAAGAACAATAGATAAACATACAAGACTGATCTATTACAATAATTGAAAGAAGTGACCAAAAGCAAAAATGACTACCAGCCCAGATGCTCCAGTTCAGCTGGTGTTCCATCACAGCTGCAGGAAAGACACAAAAATATCCCCAGGAGAGAGCTTCAGCCGACAGTAAGGAAAGTTAGTAGCTATTTCCTATTCAGGCAACAACCATTAACATCTACTCAGCGGTCGCCAACCGGTGGTCCCTGGACCCCTGGTGGTCCTTCAGGTCCGAAAGGTTGGCGACTGCTGGTTTAAAGAAGCCTTTGGAGCAGGTCGCCAACTCTGGCAGAGTCTCCTTTCCCCACCCCAGTTGAGACCTGAATTTGCAGGGAACTCAAACAACAGTTCCATGCCCAGGAAATGTGTGTTTTTCTATACCACCCCCAGGAAGTTAGTGGGCCTATTATCGCGAACGCTGGCATTAGCTGCAAAGTTCCTCTTTAGAATAGCCAAAAGAAATATATGTTTGTTTTCTTACCTTCTTTCTCTTCATCACACCAACACGAATTAGTCATACCTCCAATATTTCATAAGATGTCAAAGAAGGCGGGAAACCTAAGAATAGAAGCATTTCAATATTAAAAATATTGAAAACATGATCATAGAACCTGTCAAACGCTAGTCCTAGCCAACTTCAACACTCCTTTCTCTTAAATATCTCCTCATAAGTTTTGGAAGTTGCCTTAAAATAGGTGTGCAGGCGAGTAAGATGTATTCATGAAAGCGGGAGGGAGGGGCGTAGTGCCGATTTCCTGTCAATCTCAGTAGTAGTTTCTCCAGCTGCCATGAGGAGATTTGTTCAATTAGAAGATTAGCACTTTTCTTAAATTTTTCATTGAATGCAAACCCAAGATAGGTCCATCATTTACTTTGCTTTCTTTGATATAGCTCATATATAAATTGGTTGGAAAATAAAAAATAAGCAATGGATCCTTTGTATCAACACAAAAGTAGGCTTAAAACCTGTTATTGCTTTTTTTTTTTTTAAGCCAGACTACATAGTGGCTTACCAAAAAATCCCCCAAAATATCAATATGAATTCTAAAGTTATATCTCACATCCCAAAGTCAAACACCATGTTTCAGTCAAGATGTTTTTGCATATGTAGATGAAGAATTTACTTAAAATCAAAACACATATATACCTATATATACAAATTTACTTAAAAGTTTGGTGAGTTATTTCAATTGGCTATAATCTTTGAAGTTCAAAAGACATTTCATTTTAGCACATAAGATAAGAAGAACAGAACATTAACAGTGATGGGAAATTCATAATAGCTAGTTAATTAATTGTGAAGACAAAGTTATAAAATAAACTTTGTCTTCACAGTTAAAAACTAATTCTTGTACATTTCCTTTTGAACTAAGAAATAGCTAGCCAATAGTTTCCATTCAGATGAACAATGTATAATCAGGTTTGGTATACTCTATGCCCAAAATATATGTTGGATATTTCTTTACCTCATATTCTTAAAATCTGAGGCATGACTTTCCTAGAATAAAGTAAGATTTCATTTATAGTAGAGCCTAATATGATTTAATACATTAATACAGTCTATTTGTAATACTATTATTGAGAAATCAAGTTGATGACCTTATCAGGTATCAGATATTTCCCATATCTCATTACACTTACAGGACATTTTTGGACATGCATTTCACCAAGAACTATGTAGTAATAGGATAAATGACACTGAGGTATATTGGAATTTTTGGAGCTTGATTGCCTAGGATATGTGAAAGACAACTATTTATTTAAAAGAAACCCATCTAATTAAAATGAAAAAATTTACTGAATTATTATCCTTACTAAGCAAAAGACAAATCTGAAAAGAAACTCCCTTATCTTTCGAGGCTTTATCTGTGATTGATTTTGTGCAGTTTTAAAGAATTTTGTGCAGTTTTAAAGAACTTATCATCCTTCTAATACATTTTAGTTTTTCTAGTTGTTCATTTTCCTTCAGGTTGTTGACAATTAGAGCAACAATTCGTCTGTAATCTCACACACAGAAGCTACCAGAACCAATCCTTGCTGGAATTCCTGTTAATAAGAGGCAGAAGGCTATGTGAGCAAGTATAAAAGCAGGTACAGGTTTGAGGCAGCAGAGTTAATATATGTAGTAGTTGGGATTTCTATGAATGTTCTTCTGAAAAGTAACATGCAGTGTCATTGGCTCAGATAATCCCTCTAAATCTGAATTAATTTGATTTTTTAACCAACCTTCTATTATTCAGTCAACCAGCCATTCATTAATTCAGCAAATATTTATTGAAGTGCCTAGTATGACTATGTGATATAGAAAAGACAAGGACATTGATAGTGGGGGATTGTGAGCCCAATGGGCATGATGAATATGTTTGAAGCAAAAGACCCTGATCACACCCAACCAACTCTAATTCAGCTCAGCACTAGAATCAAGCAATAATAGTACAGATGGCCTAAAGTACATCTGTGTGTATCTGTACATGTGCACACACCCATGTATATATATTTATCTATCTGTACAAACACTACATATGTATACACACTATCTATGTAATATATAATATATGTATAATGCATATAAATTCTAACAAGTGTATTTGTGTTATCTTTAAAATAGAACAATTGTATCTTGAAGTGGTAAATGCAGAGAATTGGTTTTTATTGTTGATCTGTGGATTTAATGATTTTTTTTAGGTGAAAAGGATGTTTAAGTGTATAATTTCTTTTCTTAATTTAATATATTTATGTAAATGCATGCCTGAAATTTGGTTAGACTGACTGTATTTTGTGCCCTTTAACGTGATCAAATGTATTAAACTTTATCTTATGACCTGATATACATGTGCTATTTTAAAATTTTTTATTTTAGTATTTAAAAGTTTTCCTAAATATTCATACTGACTATATGAACATCAATTTTTTTATATTCTGTACCCAAACTACTTCAGAATATTCTTGCCTTTTGTCATTTTTCATATTCTAATTTTAAAATGTTAATCCCCCAAATATATGCCAATGTTAAGGGTTAGTTTCACTGTATGGATAGATTAGGTAGCCATAGATATTATATTGATTTCAATTTACTCTAAATTGTAAGTGACTTCAACCTGATCCTTTGAAGTAAGTAAGAATTAATAAGTAAAGAGTGTAGAAGAGCAGTTGAGAGCCCTGACTACCCAACCTGAAGGGAAGAAGCATGTAGGAAGGGGAGGAGCACAAAAAAGGGGGTGGCAGATACCCCAAAATGTTGTTGACCTTGCCACTTAGCTTCCAGTTAGCCCCACCGAGAGTATTTCTATAAGCTCAGATATGCTCTTTTGAACATGAATATTAACTCTGCCAATATTCTTTAGGAGAACCAAATACTTTCATCTAGGTCTCCTTTCTCCCTGAATAAATACAGCTCTGACCCGTCAAGAGGAGAAGCTATTTCTCTACAAGAGATGACTATGTCTAAGAGAAAAAAAATGTATTACAAGCTTATTCACAGACAGAGTCTCTTCGCTCAGGTGACTCTTGAAGCTTTAAGTTAGGCAATGTGACACCATGAGAAGCTTCCTTTCATTCCCTCCACAGGAAACACCAGAGACTCTCTTCCTGAGGCTCTGCCCTCCCAGGTCTTAGAATCTCTCCCAGCCAGTTAGTCCTTAATCACGCTCTTGGTTTCCTGTGCATATCTGGCTCTCCAACCAGATTATAAATCTCCAGAGGGCATATCTCCTGCTTTTAGAATCCCTGGCAGACTCAGAGCAGCTCCTGCATACTGTCCATGAAGAAAATAATGGCAAGGTGTCACAGCTTAGGGACAGAAGTGGTCTCTGGCTGCTGCTGACCTGGGTTTCTTCCGTGTCCCTTGATGGACTTAGCTCTGCCCTCACCAGTGTCATCAATTCCCTGCATTACATTCCCTGCATTGCAAACATTTGAAGTGGTTTCTGTTTTCCTCCTTTAGACTTATTGAGCTACATATATAATAAGACACAGATGAAAAGGGAGATAACATGGTAGAATTACAAAGGGACATGGAGATCATCTTCAGGAGAACAGGAGAGAAAACCATTGCCTTGAATGCCAACGTGATCACAGCAAGATGTAGTCAGAAGGACCCTACCTCTGAACCTGATATGTAACCCTTAAATTGCTTACATGGCTCCCCATGGAAGAGGCCATTACTCCCACAGCTGTCCCTAAGAATTTTCATACTCACTTTTTTTAAAAAAAATACATTTTATTGATTTTCCACAGAGAGGAAGGGAAAGATACAGAGAGCCAGAAACATCGATGAGAGAGAAACATCGATCAGCTGCCTCCTGCACACCTCCCACTGGGGATGTGCCCACAACCCAGGTACATGCCCTTGACCGGAACCGAACCTGGGACCCCTCAGTCCGCAGGCCAACGCTCTATCCACTGAGCCAAACCGGTTTCAGCCATACTCACTTCTGTGTTATTAAAACTATCAGCTTCTAGTTTGTCCAGGAGTCTGATAGTTAATGTGAGAGAGTTCGATGAAATTGCTTCTTTACACACACTTTTTAAAAAGAATTTTTTAGAATAATCTACTATTTCTAATGGAAATAGAACTCAAAGTAGCAGCCACACTTAGTATCTGATCAGAAAAAAAATAGTTGTTGTTTTCTATTGGAGTTCCAAAGAGTTTTCTCTGGAGATTAAATCCTACCATCATTCAAATAAATGACAGAATAAAAGGAAGAAAAACAACTTGGATGAAATATTTCTTCTGCATTTTCATAATTTATGTTTGATTTCTATACAATATTTTCTATGGTTAAAACAAACAAACAGAATTTAAGAGGGGGAAAGGAGGAGGCAGGAAGAGGGAGGAAGAAGCCCGGGTGGCTCCTGACTATAAAATTCATTCTTCTTGGGACTGTGCCCACAGCAGAAACTACTTGAGCTCACTCTTGCAATTTAATAAGATGTCGTCAGATCCCTTTCATATATTTATAGCCTTATAATTAAAACTACTTGATGCAAAATCCATGTGCTTCATGTAAAGCAATTTAGATGATCATAGATACCCTGTTCTGTGATCTACAGTTACCAAAGCCATGCGTGCCAGGTGTACTTGCAGAATCCTGGGCCAAGACTGTCAGATGTGGCTCCTGGCCGCGTGTTCCCAAGTAACTAACTGGGTGACACTGGGTAAGTCCTTCACTGCACTGGCACTCGGCTTCCTTATGTATAAATTGAGACTGAGGTTCCTGCCCGCTCTGACAGGTATTGTTATTAGATATTCCTAATCCCAGGATACATCTGTATTGCAAATTTGAAATTGCAAATCTCAGACAGGAGCCCGTTAACTACTCCTTTGCATTAATGGGCGGTGGCTAAACAATGAGAAAAGACAGTCTTAGTCATTTTTCTCTAGTCTCCCAGCCTCTTCTCCTCTGCTCTCTGTGGTTCTTTGTTACTTTCTCTGATGTGTTTGTTCTTGGAGTCTTTTTCTGGTCCTCCTATCCACATACTGTCATTCTTTTTTTTTTTCAATTACAGTTGACATTTAATATTATTTTCTATTAGTTTCAGGTGTTAGACAATCATATACTCTGCAAAATGATCTCCTCATATTTCAAGTACTCATCTGGCACCACACATAGTTATTACAATATTATTGACCATATTCCTATGCTCTATTTTACATTCCTCTGACTATTTGTAATTACCAAGTTGAACTTCTTAATCCCTTCACCTCTTTCACCCAGTCCCTCAACACCCCTCCCTCCCTCTGGCAAGCATCAGTCTATTCTCTGTATCTATGAGTCTGTTTCTATTTTATTTTGTTTGTTTTTTCTTTTATTTTGTTCTTTAGATTGCACATGTAAGTGAAGTCATATGGCATTTGTCTTTCTCTGTCTGGCTTATTTCACTTAGCATAATATCCTCTAGGTCTGTCCATGCTGGTGCAAATGGTGAGATTTCATTCTTTTTTGTGACTGAGTTATACTTCATTGTCTAAATTAAATGTACCACCACTTTTACCCACTTATCCATCGATGGGCACTTGGGTTGCTTCCATATCTTGGCTAGTGCAAATAATGCTGCAATGAACATAAGGGTGCATACATTTTTGTTGAATTAGCATTTTGAATTTCTCCAGATATATACCCAGGAGTGGAATTGCTGGGTCATAAGGCAGTTTTTGAACCCTTTAATGTCTCCTAAAACTTTCATTCTACATTTATGAAACACTTTCTGATCTATCGTGGGTATCCTTTGTGCTGGAGAAGTGCACTGTTGCAAGAAGGCCACCACTCCCTCCAGGGTCCTTAGTGCCTAGTTTTGCAACTGTCAGAAACATCATTGTTCCTTCCATGAACTGTGTTCCCAAGAGCACTATTGTAGGCACCCTACCTGACAGATAGATACCATATTCTGGGCAGATACAGGGCATAAACTCCTGGGAAATATTCTCTAAAAGGTGGACAATTCATGATAGAGAAGAAAGCGTAAGCACGTGTCTGCTGGGGCAGCCCTCACAGTCCCACCAGCTGGGTGGCTTAAGCAACAGAATTTGATTGTCTCCTAGCGCTGGAGGCTAGAAGGCTGACATCCAGGCGTCCACAGAGTTGGTTCCTTCTGAGGGTGATAAGGGAAGGACCTGTTCCAGGCCTCTCTTCTTGACCTATAGATATCTGTCTTCTCTGTGTCTTCACTTAGTCTCCTTAGTACACGTCTCTGTGCTCAAACTTTCCCTTTTTATAAGGACACCAGTCATGCTGAATTTGGGCTCAGCCTAATGACCTCGTTTTAATTTGAATATCTCTGTAAAGACCTCATCTCAAAATAAGGACACGTTCTGAGATACTGGGGCTTAGGACTCCAAAATATAAATTTTGGGAGGGAGGGAGACACAATTCAACCCATAATGCCATGCCCAGAAATCAAAGAGGCCTCATTTTTATTGTCTAAAGTAGTGCTTCTCCAACTTCAGTATGCCTCCTGTCACCTGTCACCTGGAGACTCTGCTAACATACAGACCCTGATTCAGGAGGTCTGAGGTTCCATGTCTCTGATACACTCCCAGGTGAGGCTCATGCTGCTGGTACCTGGGCCAATTGTTGAAGAACAGGATCTAGAGCAGTGGTTCTTAACCTGTGGGCCACGACCCCTTTGGGGTCGAACGACCCTTTCACAGGGGTCGCCTAAGACCATCGGAAAACACATATATAATTACATATTGTTTTTGTGATTAATCACTATGCTTTAATTATGTCCAATTTGTAACAATGAAAATACATCCTGCATATCAGATATTTACATTATAATTCATAACAGTAGCAAAATTACAGTTATGAAGTAGCAACAAAAATAATTTTGTGGTTGGGGGTCACCACAACATGAGGAACTGTATTAAAGGGTCGCGGCATTAGGAAGGTTGAGAACCACTGCTCTAGAGCATGGTTTATAGACTGTGCTAACTTCAAGGACAGAACAGGAACATGGAAAAGACTTGATGGACACATGACTGTCAGCCTCCAAAGCAAACAGTGATGTGTCCTATATCCTCATTCCAGGCTTGTGCTCAGTTGAGTGGAATGTACACAACACAGAGTAACTCCTTGTGTGTGGTGCTCCGTCATCGTCATGAGGCTACTTGCTGCTGTTACTACAGCTGCTGTTTTTATTTTCGGCAACAGCATCATAATCACCAAACAAGGACAATATTTTCATGGAGGTTGGAATCCATCTATCTGTTCAAAATAAACTGGGTTGCTAAAGCAATATGTACCATAAAATAAAATATATGTTTGTTTTAGGCTGTGTAAATTCTGCCAAAATTGTGTGTAGTAATAACAGAAAC